CTAACATTATGTCTTACGTGATTATTGTCTCTGCTCTTCCTTCATGGTTAAATACTGATGAAGGACGGTTCCTCCGATTCCAATAACTACTGCCATAATGTAGGGTGTTACAAAATGGACATAACGGAATGGATTAGGCCGCTTTGCCAAAAGTTGTCGGAACAAAGCCAGGCCCGCAAACGTGTGTGGCGGGTAACGTCTTGAGCCGAGATATTCGCCCACAGGGTTGAAGTTCCTATTGTGACAGTAGAAAAAAATATTAGGTCTGGTGGGTGGCGAGCTCTATGCGATATAGTGGGAATTTTGCTAGTCTACTGTTGTACAAAATGTCCGATCAATAGAAAATGACAAGGCTTCGATCGTGGCTAAATTTCTACTGACCATTTGTAAAATAATAGCCATGAGTAGTGACTTAAACGGTGAGTATGAATAATTGTACCTGAGAAGGACGGCTTTCTTGTTTGAAAAGCAATCGAACGTGTATTTGCCGTGATATCGGCCTATGCCTGAATTGCCAACCCCACCGAACGGGAGTGAGTCTATGGACAGATGCACGAGGACGTCATTGGCACATACTGAACCAGATGTTGTATCATTAATAAAACTACGAATGACCTTCTGCTCCTTAGAGAACACGTACGAGGTAAGCGGCTTATCACGACTGTTGATGAATTCAACGGCCTCGAACATGTCCTTCACCTATTGCGAAGAAACAAGCAATAGTCAATGAAAGAAATCGATTCTAGATTAGTTTTACGCTTATCAACAATGAACTGGTTACTGTTTGGATTCGTACATGTCTCGAAGGTCATCAGCTGTAAATTAACTTATAAAAAAAAAATCACAAATTAGCTCCGGGTTTCCGCATAGATTCATTTACAGGACAATCTTTTACAGTAGTTTGAAGATATGTATATATGGCTGATTATTATAATATCAATATATGAATAATAACACATCTACGTCTCTATAAGCGCGGGGCAAGGAGGCTCTAAGCAGTGCTTCTCGCTAGCAAATGACAAAGATAAATCAGTCGGCTGTATCTTAGTAGCCATGATGGCGACGTTTTTTGCCATCCGTGAGTGCAAGACTGTTGGTTAATGGGTACAATAGTAACGTTTTCATGCCACCTTCTGCTACTAATCAGGGAAATATTAGGTAAGAGAAAGTGAGGAATTAGAAAGAAAAAAAATTATTCTTAAGGATATAGCTGCTTGTGAAGTTCCTTGATGGAAAATTTCAAAAATGTCCACCAAGGCACACTTCGGTTAGATTCCTAATGCAGAGGTCCTGATTGTTATACCTAAAAAGGTGATTTCGAGAATTTGTTCACGTAATGAGAGCTGAACATATAAGGAGAACTGGGAATACAAAAAATGACGCGTTAGTACCGCGTCATAGGTAACTCAAACCACAAGAGTTGCTCGAACGGCAGGCTAATCAAATTGTTTTTGATGGAGTTTGACAAGAGGAAGCGGAAGTGATGGGCTAAGAAGCACGAGCGGAAGAGAAGGAGCGGGAAAGGCCACCGGACCAGGTCGTCAAGTGGGCGCGTAAACATTTACGAAGAGTCCCGCTTAATTCGATTTCAAAATCGGTAAAAGCAGACGTTAGAGGGCATTAAAGTGAAACTAATGCTCGCTTTGGAGGGGACTGACTTGCATATACAAATTTTCTGTACCACACAGAAGCTAACGCGATATTCTGTGAATTCTTGAGTGGCAAACGGTTTTTTTAGATACGCTGGGTGTGGAATTCGAGTTTAGTCTCTTTAAGAGGCATAGGAAGAACAGTGGCGTACCGAGCAAATAAGCGTGATAATTAACAATGCGAAGTTTTGTGAAACTATTATAATAGTCTAATACCTTAATGACTGGTAAAATGGGGCCAAAGATCTCTTCCCGCATGATGGGGTCGTCTTTTTGGACGTTTTTAATAATCGTGGGAGCGACATAACGTGCTTCTACATCGACCTCACCACCGAGAACGATATCCGCACCCTGGATCATATCTTCTAGGCGTTTCGTATGACGATTTGTCACAATGCGTCCATACTCCTTCGCCTTCTTCGGATTATCACCGTAGAAGTCGTAAACCGCCTGCATAAGTTTATAATCGTACATAACGGAAAATTTACTATAGGTTTACACAACGCTTCTCAAGACCTCGGACGCGGCACTGTTGTGTTCTAGAAGGTATAATACGAACCTTCTTGCATTCGTCGATGAACTTATCGTAGATATTTTCGGGACATAAAATGTAGTCAGGCGCAACACAGGTTTGGCCAGCGTTTACAAGTTTACCCCACATAATGCGCTTCGCGCTGATGCTTAGGTCAGCAGTGTCATCAATATATACAGGGGACTTGCCTCCGAGCTCCAACACGACCGGTGTCAGGTACCTCTGCGCAGCGGCATAGACGATCTTACCCACCTGAAGAACATAGAAAGCTTCTGTTCCATTTTTAACCAGTTGATGCAAGAAGACATCAACTTGCGGATGAACTACGTTAATAAGCGAAACCGCAAGTCGCCGTGTAGGAGCATCAGCGAAACAATGTGATATGTGATGAATAGATCGTATTTTACAGTATTCCCATTTTAGTATCGCAATTATTGTGATTATTATCAGGGCACAGTATTTAGCGAAAAACTACATCAATTTTACTTTCGCTATCCATGCATCATGCCTACATTGGTAGATCCGGTGTAGAAAATATGATCGAATCGTTCCTTGAGCAGCTCAGTGCATTGTGCCACCCCACTGTTAACTACCAGGAAAACGTCTGGGTCAAGGTATGACGTTAACTTTTCCATAACGGCCGCAGTCGCTGGGGCTAGGTCAGAAGGCTAAAAATTTAATATACAATAATACATTGATTATTAGAGAAGGTCTTGATTTACAGGGATGTTGGGCTGCTTCACATCTTCTTTATTTCCTGATAAGTGCAAAGATGGCCATCAATACAATAGAGTCTTTGTATATATGTACCTCTATTTAAGTGAGTAACCGGATCATGCTATCAATCAATAGTGTCATTATAGTTGGATAGGGCAAACTAATTGTCGCGGGGGGATATGCGAAACCCACCTTGAATACAACGGCGTTTCCTGCAGCAATCGCGCCGACCGCAGGAGAGATCAGTAATTGTACGGGGTAGTTCCAGGCTCCCATAATGAGGCAGACCCCGTAGGGTTCGTTCCAGATATACGGTGTATCCATCACGGCCATTAAACACCTGGTTGCGGGTTCTGGTTTGACCCAGTTATGGAGCTCCATAATAGCGCCCTTGACGTCATTAACAGCAAATTCGATGTCAAAAAGCAATGATTCCTGGCGGTTTTTTCGAAGGTCACTGTCTAATGCCTTGACGAGAAGATCACTGTTGTCTTCAAGAAAGCGCTGAAGAGCTTTAAGTTGAGTCTTACGCCATTTAACGCTCTTAGTACGCCCTGTATTTGTATAGTAGTGGTAAAAAGGTGAAAAATGAGAAAGAAAACGCACTCGAAAAAGCACTCTGAATCAACTCAGTGAGCAGATTTGAATAGTCAATACGTGAACGTGAAACATCTACGAGAAAATTGATTAAGGCAAAGAATTTTCAGCTCTATTGTGATCAAGCGTAATGATTTAAAGGTTGCGACGCGTCACAAGTGTCAGTAGTACTTGTTTGTTCAATATTTATCGCCTCTTTGAATAAAAAAGTTGTTTGGGAACTTATTGTACCTGAAGCAAAGGTTTGCCGTATTTTATTAAGCTGATCAGTGTACTCTGTTTGGACAACTTCATCCGTACCAAAAGTATGGAACGACTCGACCGAGTTCGACATCTTAAACTCCGCTATTTCGACACCTTATGATAGAAAAACCTGGAATAGATAGCGTATGAATGACAACGCGACAACCGTCTGGTAGAGTTAAATCTATTAGCGCATTCACAATAAATAGAACTCGATAAACTCAAGCAAGTGATTAGGCTTCAATACCACTTGAATAAACTAAAATATATAAACATATTTTGTAAGCTTAAATTTCAAAATTTACATTTTTGCGGAGGAGTTGGGAGTAGGTTTAGATGGAGAAAGGAATCCCGATACTACACCTGCTACTTTTACACTTAATTTCAACCTTTTCGTTTTTGTAAAAACGAAAAAAGGTAAACAACTGAGCACTAAAACACATATAAGTAATATTTCTATGTAGCTTATATAATTCGTATCCAATTGACATAAATCAATATATAACAAAATATATTTTTGTTCATTTTCCACGATTAAAACCGATGTTAAATTTTCCCAAATACCTTAATAAGCTATAGCTCATAAGATAACAAGATCTATTTATATATATAATGTTTACTACTATATCATTAATCATTTAAAATTTGCCAAGAAAAGAAAAAGAAGTTTTTCGTTAGTGCGAAAACAGTGAACTGGCAGCTAACAACAGCGGAAAACACAGTGTTAAAGGTTGGTGGCAGTAGTTTACGATTAGAAAGTTGAAGATCCTGTTTCACGTACTGTATACACAAATAAACACAAATGTGAATATGAACTGTTCTATGCAGATCCCTTGTGTAACTAAATGGCGTATTTTAAGTAAATCAAATGGAATCTGTCAGAAAATTTTTCTTTGCCACATCTATTATCTCAACTATACAATTGTTGGACTTCACCTCACTGAAATATGTCATTGGCAGAATTATGCTTAGGCGCATATATATAAAGCTTACTCTTCTCCAATCGTACTACTTCCATTTCTCACAGAACGGTACAATATATGTGTATTACATGGAAAACAGACGCTCTATTTTTTCCCTGTGAAACAATCATATTTAGTATTAAAATGCTATATACATTTACGCGGCTTCTTCTTCTAACGATACAAACGAACTAAGACTAACTGGATTCACCATTTCATATGGTTGATTCTTTGGTATAGTCCGTTACACTAAATACTGTCGTTCGATTGAAAAAAGCGATGGAACGAATCACTTGTACGGAAAATATGCTTTAATTACACCGCAGCATAATAGTGAATCTTCAGCATTTCGTTTTTATAACCTAGGTATGTATGCTATGTTGACTTGTGGCAACGTTGATCCTGAAAATCTTCAGCAGCAGCACCTAGTCGAACGTTCTATTATGAGGTTAGGTCACAGCACAACAGGCACTATAATTTCGCCAAGAACGACGCAAAGCACGATTTTTTTTCAGAACAACGATTTTCTCATTTGGCTTTTTTAACCAAATTTAATGCAGTCTGAACAAATATCCAAAATGTATCTATTCATAACAGAATTAAATAAAAAAATATGGCAGTAATCAAAGACAACAGTAATAGTTACCTTGCGTTTACGTACGGACAATTAGAAGGACACCGTGCGTGTGAACGCACTAGACGCGTAATCATAAGACGAATCAAGTACCCCCGGTTATTTCAAGAGACATGACACAGTGAATAGCTTACCATTAATAAAATATGCGAAATTAGTTTTCAGAATGGCTTCAAAATTTAGGGTATGCTAAATATCTTTGATTAGGTAAATATATGCTATGTAAATAAGCGAATGAAGAGGATCCGATTATGTTATCATTTGTCTTTTAGCATTTATTGAGCCACTAAAAAATTCGTATGCGCACCTACTGAAACAGGCTAGAAAACCTACTGAAAACCAATCGGGGTGGTCGATTTTATCGACTAGGACATATCGAAAGACTTTACTGCCCCTTTCAAGGCACTAAAGAGGTTGATTCAAAGATCGTCACTATGATATCAGGCCAACGGTGGAAATATTAAAGCCTCGAATGAGCGATTTAATTTCTCACAGACGACTTCTCTTTCGAAATATATATTTAGTTAATATGTCAAAAACTGCGATATGCTAAATATTCGTTACCTAATTTTCAAATAAATGTAACCGCATGTTCTAATTGACTACTCCCAATGAAAACACCCTTGATTTATGTAGCTAACTCTCTAACAATAGCACCAACAGGCCGTTCAACGTTTCGCTGCCGAAAGGTGGCATAGGCCTCCATCAGTGAAAAAAACAGCGATAGCTGCGGGCAGCACTCCTTGTTTCTTTCACTGAGACAAGCGAGCCAATACTTTGTACAGGCTATGGCCTTCGATAAAGCGACATGGAGTCGCTGCTACTAGAGGAGGCGATCCAATTAGCTGAGAAACAAGCTGTAAACTGAAGAATAATATGCACTTAGGTCCAGAGTGACTTAATGTCGAAATAAGGGCGACGTCTTTCGCACTGTCAGGGCATATATGGTATGAGCCCGGTGTTTCTCATAGAGCTGGAAACCAGAAAGTTATAACTAGTGATTTTAGATGACTGATTCAATTTAGAGATTCCACATCCGATCGTCTTTACTGCCAGAGATATAGACACGCTCTAAAACGCAAGCAGGCAAGGTACTTGTTCACTTCAATTTTTCTCAATGATACGCTCTAAACATTAGATATATAATAGTAGATTCTTACTTTTGAATAAAACTGTGCACCACCCGGGAGTAACGTGAACGAATCGTCAGGTAGAAGAATCACTGAAACGCACAAAGATATTGCTATACGTGGTTGAACTAAGACAAAAAGGGATCTGCGATATATTTAACTGTAGGTGCCAGTGTGGCATTACGTCTCCATTAAGACTTCAGGGAGAGGTCTCACGGATAAGCACAGTGTCATCATTGTAACTATTCAGTTCTTGACGCTTCGTAGTATTTAATGCCAAAAAACTAAGAGACATTTTGCCTTCTGTCGGAGTCACACACTTTCCTGTATAAAGCAGTCGTTAATAGGTATGACTGCCCAAATGGAAACGTGTGTTGCTTATAAAGAAATAGACTAGCCCTTTGGTCTGAACTATTGTCTTTTGCGGTAAAACAGCAGGTAAACAGTGCTTACGTTTTATATCAACGTTTTAAATATATGAGCTACCTACCTGTTGAATATACTTGTTGCTTAACCAAGAACGTTGGCTCAGAGGTACCTTCTTTATTTGTTTGTTATTTTTGCAAAATAACTCTATGTTGTTATTCGCTAAGTAGAAACTAAATGATACGAAACGAAATATTTTTGTATCTTACACATTTTCCACTTGTTCAGCGAAGAGATAAATACTAGCCAGGCTAAGTATATTTCATTGTACCAATGGAGCAGCCATCATCATTGTGCTATAATCAGGGAATATCCGCCAGGCTAAAGCAACGTGACAGAAGAGGCTTCTGGCCTTTGGCAAGCTTCCAACGGGTAGAGCTGGTCCACAATACGGTAGCAAGACACTGCATTTTAAAAACGTGTTATGAAACAATACGGATATTGAGATGACTGCTAAATTTCTAGATGTAATAGAAGGCCAAAGCAAACAGGGATCTTATCTATTATGGAGAAGTTCCGGTCTTTGACCTACGTTAGTCGCTCTTAGCTTACGCCTCAAATATAAACAGTCACTTTCTAACCATAATTGATTTCTGAAAAATGATCAGTTTAAGTGAATAACCGGCAGTCTTCAGCATACATTTAGCGCTAGTCGCAACGATCCAATGCTTTGGTCCGTTTACTGAAGACAACGCCAGTGTTACCCCATATATACATATATATAGTCGAGTTGATACAATGATTTTAACAGATAAAGGCATGTAGATGTTTCTTTTTTTGTAATCCGTTATCCATATTGAGTTAGACAAATTCCTGTGTGTTTTTCAGAAAGAAATAATTTGTGCATTTTAAAATAGTATTATTACACTAAATATCGACCGCCGATGTCCTGTAGTTTTTCGGATAACACCATAGCCCCATCGCTATGAAAGTTCTGTGGCTTCTGGTCGAAAAAATGTCAAGTGATTTTTGCATCTTTTCATTGACCAGTATTAAATAAATACTGGTAACAAAGTTTTGTGGAGAACTGAACAGATGGTAGATACTCTGGTATTGCGAGATCGGCGCTATTTGACGTATACATTAAAATTTTCCGTGCGAGTTCTCTCAATTTTAGCCGGCTAGCTTAAGATGTGTGCCGTCTGGTATTGCCATGTTGGGAAAGGAGCCTTTCCTCCGAACCTTTCCGGTACGTTTTTCAGTGACTAGCTGTTACCCTGTTCATTGTTGGAAGTATAGGTCCCAATCAATCATTCGTCACAAGACACAATTCCTTTCGAATCCTATCGTAACATCATCTTCCTTGGTGTCAGTTCGTGTTTTGCCAAAGAATATTAAGCAAATTTTTTATTTTTACTTATGTGCACATTATTGTCGCACATGATCTACTTTTCATTGCTTGTGATTCAATCGCTTCATAAATGGCTGCATTTCTACAAAGCTTCGTAGATGGGAATAGGATCGGGATTTTTTTTGGCGTCAGTGTGTCTTATCAAATATCGAGCTTTTTCAAATGATTTAAAAATGTATGTTCAGTTCATTGGCGATGTCTATGATATCGCCAATGAACTGAACTCACGTATCGATCTTGCTTAACTTTCGCAGTAATCTTCGACTCTTTGTCGCGACCACTACGAGGAGCATTTTTCAAATCGAAAATACCAAATCAAAAACCAAATAACCATATTTGAGCCGTTTTCTTTGATAACTCATCTTGACCATAAACATCAAGACTTTCTTCATCGGCCTGATAGACCCTAAAGCCAACTGCTCAAAAAAAAACAGACAATGCTTTTTCGACAACTTAAAATAAGTAAAATAAAACTCGAATTCGGTCTCATATTTTATACAGTAGTTTTTTTTTATTGTACATTCTATTCAAATTGTTCTATTCCCTAAGGCCCAAACAGGCACTCTCGACCACCGTTCACTCCCGTCCGTAGTATTAGAGAAGATATCTTCGTTAGAACCTGATTCAATAGAGGGGGTTACTTGCTATATAGCTCTTCGCAATACAATACAAAAACAGAGCAAAACAAAATGGTTCGAAGATTGTCTGGCGGTAATGTGGTCGCTGGCAAGGGTTTTATCTTGCGGACTGTGCAATATAAAAGAAAAACAAAGATTGTACAAGTTTCTTGTTTATACCCAGGTAATTATATTGATTGAAATAAATGAAATGTATATTAACAACAAATGAATAATAATAGGGGCAATTCCAGAAACCGCAACACTTTTATAAATTGCAGTACGGGTACAATGGAACACTCCGGAAGTAATAGATACCTGAATTCATCAATAATACAAACTATTATATTGTATATATTATATGTCTAGATTTACGTAGATAAGTTTAGCGATATCAGCGAGTGCTCTATTATCTCCATTTCCGAAAGCAAGCTACATAAAAATTCGATATATAAAATATAAATAAAACACGTACTTGTTTTTGTTATATTTTTATTAGTTATAAGTAGTTGAAACAAGTAAAGTCATGTGTTTTTTTTTTCGATGGCGATCACCTTTTTAAATTAGACATTATCACATTTTACTAATGCTTCAATAAATCTCAGGTCAAACAGGTTGTTTGCGAATTGTCTGCTATGTCAATATTTCTTCTCTTCGTAATTTTTTTTCTTAAAAACAGTTAAAATTCTATTAATAGAGGATCAATGGTCAAAGATGATATAGGCTAACTAAAATCAATCGGCTCCTCCTTTACAAAAAAAAACTACTGATAATACTCTTTAGGAAACATTTTATACGTAGTAGGATAATAATAATTTCAACGACATCTGTCACCATCACTGCATAAGCTCCAACCAGGTCTTCTGTATTAATGCAATTCATACAGCGACAAAACTGCAGAAAAAATAGGAACGGAATTCATGTATAGCTTATCGGGCGATACGAAGTTACGGTTTTGATTAAGGTTTTTATGTCGCTTATAAGAACAGATAAATATACAGACGTAATATGAAGGCACAGGCTATGGGTACACGATCGGTTAACCAGGTCTTATTCGTTTTTATAATCGCTTAATATTCAATGCTCCTATGACTGTACTTGTCTTCACTCTGATACTCCAACACAATCAAATGAGTTTTTCAATGTGTAAGGCCATTATTTGACCATATAATAGCAGTTTCATTTGATTGACTGTAAAAACAATCAGTACAATACAACGACTTAGGAATAACGAATCCATCAAACTATTTCACTATTCTTGTCCACCTGCGAGACCGTCAATCCTGAGCACATTAATGAAGATCGAAAATGTTTAACTGTTTTGCTTGCTCGAGCCTTTTTAGGATCATGTGCAGTACGGTCTAGTAAAATAGAGAGAAAAAAAGTAAGTTAATGGAATATATCGGATTCGAAGTTATAAAAAAACGATGACGATCGATTAGCACTAGGTCCTTTTATTCACCTTAAACTGTTTGAAAGAGACTGATGAAAAAAGTGTCTCTCACCCGAAGACTGTGTCCTACCTGATTAGTGCCTATGTTCCTTTGCCATGGTTAGATATTGATAGAGGACAGTTCCACCAATTCCGATAGCTGCTCCAATAACGTAAGGTGCCACATAACAGGCGTAACGGAATGGATTGGCCCGCTTTGCCAGAAGGTGTCGGAACAGTGTCAAGCCTGATTCCGTATGTGGCGGGTAACGGACTGAGCCGAGATATTCGCCCACCGGGTTGAAGTTCCTGTTGTAACAGTAGAAAAACACCAATGGCGAATTCTGTTTTGACACGGTAGGAATTTGGTTTGCTAACTAGTTTGAATAACTTGAAAGTACCCACACAACGTATGCAGATAAATTATTGATAGCGATTTGGAGAATAATACGATAATTTATGTGTTTTAATAGTCGTAAACAAGGCTGCAAACGGTGATCAGAAATAACCGTACCTGAGAAGGACAGCTTTTTTGTTCGAAAAGCAATCGAACGTGTATTTGCCATGATAACGGCCAATACCTGAATTGCCAACTCCACCGAACGGGAGTGAGTCTACGGATAGATGCACGAGGACGTCATTGACACACACCGAACCAGCTGTTGTATCATTAATAAAACTACGAATGACCTTCTGATTCTTAGAGAACACATACGATGTAAGCGGTTTGTCACGGCTGTTAATGAATTCAACAGCTTCGGACATATCCTTCACCTATCGTAAAAAACCAAGCAACGATCCGTATCAAATAATACCTCGGATTAGTTTCAAGCTTATCAACAATATTTGGTTGACATTTAGATAATAAAGGAGCTTAATATATTTTGTGTGAATATTTTACGTATCCATACGCATTACACAATTCTACAAACAAACCTGCCAGCTAAAAACTCGTTTACAGAGTCCCCTGAAGGTGTGATGCCTGCCGGAAGATAGTGAACTTGAGTTCAATATATATATATTTTTTTTCTTCTTTTAAAGATATTTTTAGCATGCGTAAAAGCAATGGATATATAGTACATAGACAGTTTTATACCTTAACGACTGGTAAAATAGGGCCGAAGATCTCTTCCTGCATAATGGGATCGTCTTTTTTGACGTTTCTAATAATCGTGGGAGCAACATAACGTGCTTCTGTATCCACTTCGCCACCGAGAACGATATCCGCACCCTGGATCATATCTTCTAGGCGTTTCGCGTGACGGCTTGTTACAATGCGTCCATACTCCTTCGCCTTCTTCGGATCATCACCGTAGAAGTCGTGAACCGTCTGTAAAAGATTATAATTGAACAGAATAAAAAAAACTTACTATAGGTTTACACAACGTTTCTTCCACTTCTTTGAAGTCTGCAGACTCGGGTTTAAGACCTTGGACAGCACTGTTCTGTTCTAGAAAATATAATACGAACCTTCTTGCATTTGTCGATGAACTTGTCGTAGATATTTTCATGACACAGAATGTAGTCAGGCGCAACACAGGTTTGGCCAGCGTTTACAAGTTTACCCCACATAATGCGTTTCGCGGCAAGGTCTAAATCCGTGCTCGTGTCAATGTAGACGGGTGATTTGCCTCCTAGCTCTAATACGACTGGTGTCAGGTATTTCTGGGCAGCGCTGTGGATAATCTTACCCACCTAAATAACATGAAAGAACTAGCACTTAATTTCGAAATAATATAAAATAACCGAAATATAAATAACCAAAGATGACAGCGGCCTGGATACGATGAAAACTGCCAGCAGTTAAGCCACTTGATACGATGGCTGATGCTGCAAGAAATAAACTATGATTTTATCTGAATCGCATACTTTTCGTATTTTATCATCACAGTCATTGCGGTAATTTTAAGGCATAAATAGCCATCGAAAATCACATTAGTAAGAATCAATGCGAGCAACTAAACTACGAGGCAGATAAATTTTGTTTTTCCTATTCATGTGTTATACTTACGTTGATAGATCCTGTGTAAAAGATATGATCGAATCGTTCCTTGAGCAGCTCATTGCTTTCGGCGACCCCACCGTTAACTACCAGAAAAGCGTCTGGGTCAAGGTATGACGTTAGCTTTTCCATAACGGCCGCAGTTGCTGGAGCTAAATCAGAGGGCTAAAGATATAATATACAAATGTATATGGGTATTAGAATAGGTCTTGGCTTCTAAAAATATTGCGTAGTTTCTAGAGTTTCATAGTTGCGTAGTAGTATAATATATGCATAAATAAACACCAGTATAATAGAAAAAAATCTATGTACAAAAATATCATTTGAAGATAAAACGTGTTAAAGTTTAGTAAATTTATAAAATATATTTGCATAACTAACTTAGTATCTGCTCTTTTGTACATTTATAATAACCAGTGATTTAGTGATCAAATCCGTATTAGAAATTAACAGGACCACGACAATTGGAGAAGCTGAACTATTCATGGATATGCAAGTGTATACAACTAACCTTGAATACGACGCTGTTTCCTGCGGCAATCGCGCCGACCGCGGGAGAAATCAGCAATTGCACGGGGTAGTTCCAAGCTCCCATAATGAGGCAAACCCCCAAAGGCTCGTTCCAGATATATGGTTTATCGAACACGGTCAGCACACTTTTGGCCGTAGGCTCTGGCTTGACCCAGTTGTGAAGCTCCATAATGGCACCCTTGGCATCATTAACCGCTAATCCGATGTCAAAAAGCAACGATTCTTGACGGTTTTTGCCAATGTCGCTGTCCAATGCCTTGACGAGAAGATCGCTGTTGTCTTCAAGGAAGCGTAGCAAAGCCTTGAGTTGAGTTTTACGCCATTTGACGGTTTTTGTACGTCCTGCACATAGATAGTCGTGACGAAATATGAAGAAACACTCTCAGATAGTTACATGAGCAAGAAGAACCATCGTGTGAATATAATATTCACAATAAAGTTGGCTATACCGGAGGAACTGGTTAAATCTGATCAACTGTGAAGCCCGTTGTTTAATCTATGCCACTAATCTGAGCGTTTATCGCCTTTTTAAATGTGGTAGTTAAATGATGGTACCTGAAGCGAAGGTTTGACGCAGTTTATTGAGCTGGTCAGTGTAATTTGTTCGAATAGCTTCGTCCACACCAAGGACATGAAACGGCCTGACTAAATTCGACATCTTGTACAGTTATGTCTGGTCACCTTCTGGCAGAAAAACCTAAAATGATGGCAGCACATGATTAATTATTTGTTAATACTTAGTGTTACCATATCTACCATAAGACTGTACTGCAGATTACTGATCTCATCGAGCCCATGTGTTGAAATCAACTGCACTTCAAGTTGGCCATTTGCACCAAATAAAACAAACATCCACTTGTGCTAATTAAAATGTAATTGATTATAGCGTATTATCTAAACATATGTTCAAGGGCAAACTTAAGCCTCAAGGTTAGAGTACTTCAAACGTTTGCGGGGCAATTGGGAAATAGCTCAGTCAAAAAAATGGGATCTCAGCGCCAGATGTGCTACTTCATTCAATTTCAACCTGTTCATTTTTACCGACAAATAAAAACTAAATAATTGAGCACTTAGTAGTAGTAATAAAAAATACACATAATATAACGAAAGGTCTAACTGGCAGCAACCAACATTAGATCTAGCTTTTTTCGCTCGCCTCGGTAAAAGTCACCATGCGGCAATGATTCGTTGAAAACATGTCAACTTAATAAATACACTATACGTACTGCAAGGTTCATTAATTATTCTGGTTGCATCAGATACAGATTACATAGACACAACATACTGTTTACTATCCATTAACACAAAACGAAATAGGCAGGAATATTCTAAACGTATTTAAATGTTTTTCGATGCAATAAACAATGCTCCATGAGAGCTAATTCGATTATTAAATAAGCAGCTGTGAAGATTCTGCTTTAGCACCCACAAAGCCTAAAGTGACGACCGATCTTAGAAGGAGGGCTATCGATTAAGAGCTAAGTTAGGAACATTTTCCGTGTAAAACATGTCATGTGGTCTATTGTTATGTGATACTTCCCGCTACGACAATAAACCGATATGCAAGACCGTCCAATACAATAACAATCTAACATTTTTACAAGTTACACAGGTTTTTGCTTAGTCTATTATTAGTAAAAATTGTGGCTAGATGTAGCGAATTGAATTAACTATTTTTTGTTGAGACAAAACGTGTCACCATTGAGAATTTCAATACATTATGTAGTATATTGGCAAGTACAAAGATAACAGTGGCCCGATTCAACTAAACCCGACAACAACGTTCGGTACCATAAACACAAATTTCTACAGAGGCTAAATACTGCTTTGCTTTCAGAACGAAAACGGAACTATGTTTTTTACCCGTATATCAAATCCGCCTACATAATCTAATGGACTAAAAGCTAAATAGTCAATGATTTACCCATACGAAGCCGATCGTACCATAGATACGAATACGGGTAAGAGATGCCAAATCTGCAACGATCAGTGCCTTTTTACGCCTATCAAGGCGAGATGGAGCTCTTCCTCGATCCTTCCTTAACTGAATATCAGGATATACATCTTATTCTTAATTTGCCTATCTTGTAAGCTATTCGAGTGAGATTTCGTGTCCCTTTTAATATTATAGATAGGCTATTGGCTTAATGGAATTCGTACTTTGTACTAGCAAGATCCGACGAGCCAGCTGCTTGTATGTCGTTCATAGGAAGCGACGATCGATTCTGCTTCGGTCCGCTCGTTCCACACGTACACAGCCAGAAATGGACTATGAGAACTCTTTCGTTGTAATAAACCTCTCTCCAGGTGTCCAGTTTGTCTTCAGTTTATTTGAAAGTACGCTTAACTGTCGCTAGGTTTCGAGAACACATAACTGTTTAGTGACACATATCTAACGCTGATTAAAGCAACACAGATAGCGCACTTTTTCGGTAGACTGTGTACAAATAAATCGCAGCACGCCTTACTAAGCATTATTTGTTCGAGTTCTATTGCCAATGGTACAGGCTTCAGCCAACCTATTCTTCAAACGCTCAACTATCGAAGTATTTTCTATTTATAAAAAATGCTATTGTAGGTAATCTCCATGTATTCAACACATGTATATATTAACTTACGCATTACTACCGCTGTCGTATATTATATGGATGCACCTATCAACAACTGGTCGAACTTCGCATTAATGTCCGTCACACTTAGATATCTACACCTACATTCATACGAGGATAAATGTTGACATTTTAAACGAATATATTTTTGATTCGACACTAATTCTTAAGTATTAGGCGTTTTTGGTAAACAAAGCCTTAACAATCTATGGGCTATAGAAATGTAAACTAAGAACTTAGATGCCGAATTTAGGTCCGAAGAAATGCAAAAACCGCTATGCAATTTGCAAAAATGCAGTACTACTATATATAGTTTTTTCTTTGTAAAAGCTGAAATTACTTTGTACCGCGATAAAGGACACGAATATTTTTAATTTCAGACCAATTTCAGCGTTACGACGATAACATGCATAAAGCATGTATGTACAGCTATATCTCTTCTCTACCTCAGCATATAGGTTTTGATGCGTATTTGTTTTGAAAGGTTACGATTGACATTTTAGATAGTAGTATGCAAGTAAGCAACGTTCCAAAATCATCTGACAAAATTGATTCTCACGCAATTTGAATAAAAAATGTGACGTATAAAAGCTCGAATGGAGGTTGTTCGTTCGTGCTATTTTTCCTAACCCAAATGTGTTTGTTTGTAACATAATAGCAATCAATGTATAGAATGCCTAAATCGTATATAAGAAAATTTAAAGTGTCTACATTACATTAACACTGCTGATGGTTTTTCATCGAAGTTCATAACCGATACGACAAATTCTTCAACCGTAGCAGACACAATGCTGACATGTTCCGTTGGAAGAGAACCAAATGTATATATTTTCTTATACATTTATATATATATACTAATATTTTGAATCTTCTACCGATATGAAAGTCTGACCTTTAAGAACATACGAATATGACTAAAAGACAAATAAGATAGAGATTTCCACAAACACTTCTGTTATCTCTTTCTTTAGATACGCGTACAATACATTGGTCTCGGATACTGTAGCTCGTCCATCCATCGTCTCTTCTAAGTCAATAAACGAAACTAAAGTAAGTAAATCAACTAAGTAGCTCTTTTGTGTATACTCTAGACACACCCGAGTAAGAACGAGACTATAATGATTTCATTCCCATCATAACAGATGCGTAGACTTGGGTTTATATGGTTGATTCTTTGGCATAGTCCGTTGAAAAGCATAGAAGGTCAAAAAGCAGTAAGACAATCTACTTCGATCACATCGAATTCTTGTCAGAAGACGTTCAGCATCATCGAGGCATATATAAATAGACAAAGAATAGAACCAAATATCCCAGAAAATTTTCAGCACTGTTAGTAATTTATCGTCCGGCCAAAGGTTTTAATCTAAGCATGACAACCAACATAATCTGGCAAGCAAATACGCAGAGATATTACTTTTTCAGAACCGCAATTCGTACACTCGACTTTATCAAGTGAATCGGACAACATCCCAACGAATATCTAAGGCTTATTTGCAGGGGGTAGAGCTTTACTCAACATGCCTTAAAGCGCAATTTTTGCAAAGCCAATAGTTACTGAGCACAAATATTCCAAAGGACATGTAAATGTACATGCATCTCATTCTTCACAATACAGTTTAAGTAAACATATATTTTTTGAGACACATGACACGCTACACAAGTTTAGCCATTTGATACTATATACATATTGTTTTAAAATAGTCGAAATTATTTTTAGGCCTACAAGTGCACGTTTTTATAATATCTTCAATGATGTGTTAACTTCAAATGCATGTCAGAATCCGACAAAGTACTCTCTAATAAGTTGTATTAAGTTACTACTACTGTACCGAAGCATCGAACACTTTCTATCTATATATATATATATAGATACTTCATATATATATATATATATAAATTAAACGCAACAATACGATCCACAGATAGACTACTACATAAATACACACGAGATTGGATAGTAATAAGTCTGTATTATTGTTTCTATGCGTGAGTGCTCGGATGTCAGGCCCAGAAGGCCGCTTCTTATCATATACGCACAATCACATATTAAAATGTGGTCCCTATCACACACACACATAACGGTATCTGTGATTCGAAAAAAAAATTTCAAACTCCGCATAACCAATACCGCTAACACTCAAGGCCAATAAACAACTCACTAAATCAATCTATATGGTGCCACAAACCATTCAGTTGACGTCCAGCTGTCCTGTTCTCTCCAGAACGTATCGATAAAACTCTATCAAGTTTCCATTCTCTGTTATTTACTCAGAGGGTGGTTGCCTACTTGCTCTGTGTAGCTTTCTGAGGCTATCAGCAGAAGCGCCGTCAATAATCGGCTTGTGACAGTAAGACCCCTACTAGCGTTTGATTAGCCAGATATACGCCGCTTTCATTCTCGCCTTGTCGTTAAAAATATTTCGTCGAACGTGGCGGCAATGTTCGAATGCTTGGCGGACTGTTGGTTTTGAGAACGCAACATCTAACGACCACTACATCATAGAGGTCGGATACTACATGACTAGCTACATCGGTAGCCGCTGTTCGTTGGATTGCGGGCCCGTATCAACCAGTAGGAGACAGCGATGTCACTGCTCAATGAAATTTAAGGGCAAGGGAAAATGGAAAGGGCGTGAGGAGCCTTGAGGCCAAACAATGGCAGCAAAATATGTCCAATTAGTTCGAGGCCAAGACAACGCAGTTTCGGTAAATTATTTAAAGAAAACATCCACTTACTATCCACATTACATAAGCGAGCGAACTTCATCATTCAATGGGCTAGGAATATTATTGATATCTGAGGAGCGAAATATGGATTATTTAGGAAACGCAAAGCTGACAAAGAGGAGCTAATGAAACAGGATTGAAGGGTCTCTCAAAATATCAGTTCATTTACTTGAAAATTGAAAAAAAGTTTCGCAGTACCAGTGTTTCGGGTTTAGTATTCCCAGGTGAAATAGAGGTTACTTATAACTTAATCAGTTAACTCAGTTAGAAAAATTTTGTACGGATAATATTTATTGGTCTTATTCAGATCACCAACTAGAGCCAACATTTTCATAGAAAAAAGCGTCTTTTTTTTTTAAAGATACACGCTAAACATCAATCATATTGACAAATTCTTTTCTTGTTTTTGCGAAATCTGCAGAAATAGTAGGTGTTCGTGGAAAACTTCGTAGAAACCTGTTGAAAGTGTCGATTTGTTAAATAAAAGATTAACTATAACTATTGCTGCTGCACGAAGTTGCTATGTAAGATTTAAATATATCAGTTACACGCATGAAAAAAACGGTCTCTTTAGGAAAGTCTCACGGACGAGTGAACCATTATCATCGCCCGAACTGTTTTCAACGATTTCTCAACAGTTTTTTTACATTCAGCATCAAGACAAACGTCGAAGAGAAAGTGGAGTTCGATCGATGCAGACGCTATCTTCAACAGATAAATTATGAACGGCTGTGTTCTGCGAAATAAAGCGCAAAGTTCTACTACGTTGAGATCATTGTCCTTCATTTCGGACTTGATTTATGCTATGTAATTCAGGATGGAGTGACGATCTGCATACAAATGTCGGTCGTGATAATAGTTTCATATCAATATATGCTGCCCGTACTCTTGGTAACGGCATAAGGGCTTTGCCGCACAGGCATAAATCATACAGCGGCCGAATACGGTAATTTATTTATTAACAGGTGTATCACACGCAATAAAAAGACTGCGTAATTCTCAAAGTTACAAGTGAGCGCCTACCGTTATTTTGAGCTGTTCAGATTATTCTCTATCCTTTATTGAAATCAGCTTAGTAAGTTTATTAAAAAAATTCGCCTTTGTCATGTTAAATATAGGGAGAACCGCGTGTTTTTTATTGCCAGATTACGAATTTTCAGTGCGGCAGAATGCTGTATGGCAGTAGAATACTCAAAGGTCTCCCGTCCTAATTATTTATTCCCAGTATTGGAATGGGTACACGGTAGCGTTGTTTCTTAGCGGTATTTATCGGTTCAGTAGGTTGATAGAAAATATACGTCGCATCCTATTCGAGAGAAAAACAAGATTCTAAATATAGTTGTTACATTGGCGTACGTCGTTAATGACATACGAAACGGAACTGCTCGTCCCCGTGACAGGCTAATGCTTTGGGACATGCTGCGATTTCAGTCCGCCCTCGGGTATAGACATGGTTTGTTTCGTGGCCGAAGCCAGCCGTTTGATAAAATGCCTGACGATGATACCGAACTACCAATTGAAGCACGGAGACGAAGACAGTTTGTTGACAATGTCATACAGTTATTTACATTAATCGATTTACCTAACCGAAACAATAAGGTCTAACATAAGGGCAATGTCCTTATAGCATGTAATAAATGTGTCGAAGCCTTATTTCGGTAGATACTTACTTATTCATAATTTTGAAGGCACCTGACTTTTCAGAGTCACTTTGCAGCTTCATACGACAGTTTAGACACTGTTTTCGTAATCTAGTTTGTGATCAGCATTCGTACGTGTACACTCATCATATGCTACTTGTTTTATATGCTACCTATTTTCGATTCGTTACTGCACGCGCTTAATAAATCAACTATGGCATTTGCTTGGCGCCTTTATTTGCTCACACCTTATTAAATTCACTATTATCTACATTTGTAATGATGCGATAATAGAAGTAATAATTATGGTCTTCTGAATTGCAACGAGAGTAGCTATGCACAAGCGTATTAAAAAATGATAGAGACCATAGATAATGAAGAACAAATGCAAAACTACGTCGCTGTTTTTGCTGCCAAATTATCCTCTATCATCGCCGCTGCCATTCATAATTAGAGATCAGCTAATTAAGGGACTATTTTGTGGGGCAGTTTTCATTTATGCGATATGATGTCGACTATATGAGTTTAAATAAACAATAACCTTGTTGAATGACGGACAGTAGAGAAGCGAGGGAAAAGGAGGAACACGAGGGGAGCTCCCCATTCGTTGCATTAGTAGGCAAAGCCAAAACGTTGAAAACAAATAAACGCGTAGCAATATACAGGAAAAGTGATTTGTCGATAGCAAAAAGGTGTTTCGTGTAGGTAGGTGACTCTCGGCTATTGCCTCTACTACAAACTTCGATACCTTTGTTTCAAGGGGCTACGCGGTACAATACTATCTATCTTATCAAGGGGGAAAGAAGCTACTATCATATATTTTATTAACATTTGTTTTCTATATTGTATTTTTGGTGGAAGATCAAAATGTGATTACGTCTATATTCAAACCAAGATCACCTCGATGTTGCTCTGATTTCTGTCCAAATCTGCTAACTCGTATGGACAATAGCAGTAGTTATCATCCTATATTACAAATTAAGGGATACTTATGCGCAGTGCGGATACATTTTACGCAATCTATTGAAATCGCTCCAGTTGGCATAAAAACGCACGAAACATTCGTTAATATCGATTGTGAAGAAAAAGGTAAACCTGGATAGTTTTGGCGACAACACTTTACTTAATTTGGCGTTATAAAAGTGCTCTACGGAAGCTCTTATAAGACTCAATAAAAAAAAAAAACGCAACTGTTTGTCCTACTGTAGCGAATAGTACGATTAGTGAATCCAACCAATAAAATCCAACAAATGTTTTATTTCCTAAGACTGGGTGGCATACTTTCAGACCCATCGCAACCCAAAGTTTCTCTGTGATTAAGCACATTTTCTCTGTACTGTACGAAAAGACGACGACCATCAATTTCCAGTTCGATTTCCGTGCTTACAGTTTCAGTATGATAGTCAGTGAATATTAATAACAATGACGAACTCGGACAGTAATGTTGGAATATCAACACTTTCCCGCAATAAATAAACACCAACAAATTGATTCGATCTTAGTTCGCGTATAATGTCAATTCTCTCTAACGCACCAATGTCTGTATTTAGGTAACTCATTCTCATATGCTCGGTTAGCTTTTCTTACTATGAAATGTGTCATAGACATTAAGGTTTAACGGACGCACGTTTACTGCCTGTGACAGTTATCCGTAGCAATTGTTAAAAAGTACGCGATTGAATAAATGAAAGTACAAAATGCGATTAGCGCAGCGCTTACCGTGCCTATTTACAGTAGAGTCAATAAAATTGTTATTTACTTGAAACTTTATAAATTAGATATTAACTTTTTGTGCAAACCTGCAAGCTAAATAAAACTGTGTGGACGGAACTTCGGTAAATGCGTGAACTTTATAAAGCCGTTTAGTCTTAGTTGATGCTTAGACATTTCAGCAACTTATGTTTACATAGTAAGTTAAGTGTAGTTCATTACTGTATGTGTAGTCATACCACTGTCTATTACATTGTGTGTGTGCAAATAGTTGCGGAGGGGATGAGTGCTTACCTGCAGAAGTATCGCGAATGTATTGAATATATAAGGCTAAATAAGGTTTCCATGCACAAAAATAATAATCAACGGATCATTTAACAATAATAATTAGGTATACTTATTCATTAGCCAAAGCTTATTCTTTTTACATTTCACCTGTTTCAAAAAACGGGAGCGGATATATATAAATATATTTGTACAAACGAAGTCGACTTTAGAAAGCCTTTGCCAAATATGGCGATCGCTCAGCTTGTATTTGAACTCGAAGCACTTCGTCGTATTATTCTACTGATTAGGCTTCCGTGCATGATGCCTCATAAATTGCATACCATGAGCAATCAAAGATAGCGTATTTCACCATCATTAATTGATTTCTAAATCGACATTTTTACCAGATATCGTTTTTCAGCTGACGCAATGTCTATTGTCTATGGACCGTTTTGATCTGTTCATACGGAATTTAGTCGTTCATTATTCTTGACTAAGCCTTGTTGATTTAGTCCTTCTAAAGCTCTGTACAAAATAATTATAAATGCATTAAAATTATACACGATTCGACACTCAGTGGAAATGCCATTTGCTGCTCCAGTTGCAGAGTCGAGTTCACGGCAAATATACCTAAAATATTAGACAGAATACAAACCAACTGACATCTGTATGTGTGACGCATAAGAAATTATTTATTTGGATCGCGTTCGTCTCCTGTAACGTTATGTCTATAAAATTCGATTAGATTCATTTAACAATACCATATACTTTATATGTAAATATGTACAGCTAACAATCAGAAAAAATTCAGCGTTATTTCCTATGCTCCTGTTGCTTGTAACGTACTTGAAGTACTCTTCTAGAACCCACAAGCGTTCCGTAACGCGCCCACACCCCACAAATACAGACAGCTCTCGCAAAGCACAACCTCGAACATACTGATCGATCAAGTAAATGTTTCAGTGAAAAATCGCCCAAGGACAGGTATACACAGCTGGGTATTTATCATTTGGAATTTGCTTCTCTTCCAGACATTTTTTTATTCGAGGTTTTGATCGATAATACAACTGCGCGTGTCACGAGGAGTTATGCGATTTCAAGTGTGACGCCAATACGACCACTCGAGGCACGTCTTTTGTTTTCATGGACGTAAAAGCATTCGTTTGCATGATTCTTCACAGTTACCACTACCGTGATAAATAAGACCCAATGACGTTTGTCTAGGCGATGAGCACAGGAATAATGATAGTAATATCTTCGTTGATATAACCTACTATAAAATGAAACCTTACGTACTAGGCATCACTTTGAACACAGATCAAACGTTGCTGAAGACGTGAATTCGACAGGTTTATGCTATTGGCCAACACTGAAGAGTGTTTTCTTGACGACTCCGAACAAGACATCTTATTGATGTTCCGAGTTTACTTCAGATTTCATATAAATTAATGAAATGGGAAAGGCTGTCGAATGTTTAACAAAAAAAGCTGTTTAGCTAGACGGATGCAAGCCGTATCAATAACGAGTAGATAAAATTCTTGATAGCTACTCGGTACTCAACTTACGTACAACGTTTTTTCTTCGGAAATATCTTATATAATAAATATATAACAAATAAAAAAAAATAATAAAACAACTACTTCCATGGACTGTTATTGTGCGATGGCACCTATTTCCGTATGTGCAGGATATTAACGACCTCTGTCATACTCTCATCTGTTAAGGATCTTTGAACCAAATAGTTATTGTTAAGTTAAAATCGGTATGACTAGTGCTAGCTACTTAACACCGTGAAAGAAACTTTTAGACATATTTAACCGTTGGTATTCAGGTCCATCGTGTACGATGTTACATACAAGATTTTTGACTCTATCTACAACGTCGTACCCATTAATGATTGCAATGACCTCATGCATAATCGCGGAATGGCGAAGTTTCCAAATTTGATTTTTATTTTTGTAACGGTCGCGATGCCAGGCCCCACATTTAAACAAATCAAAAGTCAAATTTACTGCGCCTTAGCCATTACTTTAATGATCTCATGTGTGAAACAATTGTGTCACACAATCTAGGTGATTATTGCTACATAATCATTTCGGATATCATATCAGTAGCTGGCTTTCGCATACCGTAATCAAAGAAATCGGTAGGAAAGTTGTTTGTAAGACAAGCGAAATGCTTTTGCGGCCTTTGAGTAGTTATTTATAGGCGATCAGTAAAAAGGCTAAAATGATTGATCTCGTTACGTATGATAGTCATGTTTGTTGATTGCTGAAGCAACACAATTATTCTTAGAATTAAACAGTAGTAAATAAACCTTTGAAAAGATAAAATATAGGCAGCCACAACTTGTCAAAGGGTCATTTTTTCAAGATCGATAAGTATCGACCTTTGCCTATATTTGCTTGTTATATGGCAGTCTCCTCTATTCTTTGCTTTATTCAATTGTATTTCTATTCTTAGGCAACAAATAATTCCAGCATATTACAATTAGCATTAAACATTAATGCAAAAAAAACGTTTTGGCTCATAGGTTCCTACACGTAAATTACATCAGATATGGACTCAGTTGCAACATTCAAGTCAAGCTTATTTTTACTATCATGACTGTATTAAAACTGATTTTTATGTTAATCGTGTCCGTCCTTTGTCTTCATTGTTTATTCGTATGACACTTACCCTAGACCATAAACATACCGATACACTTGTTTTTTTTAGAATTGGAATCAGTTGCATGATTAATGGTTCTTTTCTGAATGAGTTCACGCTGTGTAGAGCCAGTAACATTCATTGTCATTGTTTTCTCAATAGACTCTCTTTATACATCGGTGGAAGTTATTTAAACGATTGCCGTTTTTTTTCGCTGGCGAACAACTACGTATAAAAAATTATCGGCATAACTCATGTTTATTGCCAGCCATTGAAGTGGTGCATCTAGTGGAACGGGAATACCATGCAGAATCACCTCCATATCCTCTCCCCACTCATAGGACGATGCAGGAAGTTTGCCATTATTTTCCGTTGACTCTTGCGGCTTTCCCTTGTGTGTGCTACGAGAATCATTTTTTACAGTTTCTGTTCCATCTCCGCCTGCTATAACCCTACGCTCTGTCGTACCAGGAGAACTTTCGGTGTCAGGGGTTTGCGTTCCATCTTCTGCGGCTAAACATTGATTGCAGTCCTCTTTTTTCGACAAATCATGTAGCTCTGGTGTCACTGTCGGCTTACCCTGATTTTGAGGCCTCGTAAACCACAAACGAAGAACGTGTCGAAGGGTAATTGGCTGCTTGCTATTATCTGGCAAACCGTCGCTTGATCCACTCATCGGGACGAGTTTTTGTATCTGATAGACAACGGGTGGAGCGGTCGTTGAGACTTCTGTGCCAGGCGAAGACTGAAACCAATAAGACAAACTTCAGCATCGGGTCGCTTTAGCTTTTTTTTTTAAAAGAAACTAGTGAAAACGTTACTTTCTTTTTATGTAAAATATGCTGAACGTCAGGAACTTCGAAATGGACTAAAAGCCACGACTTTCCCGCTTACTGTGACCTATTCTTGTGAAAATTATGATTTTTATTCTAGATAAATAGCATAACCATAAGACTGCTATGACTGTGATAATGAATTTTCCCGACGACATACAGTTAAGTATTTTTCTTTGAAACGTTTCCTATTTCCAATCGCATTTTGAATTTTTAATACGTTGCATACATTACAACGTTATACGACAATATTGTTTTCATGCACGTTTGTGAAGTCCACCTTTGTCACAATAAAGATGTATTCATGATAAAGTAAATCCACACGTATTTAGGCTTACCATACCAACTTACTTTCTAGGTAATATATACCAGCTAATCTGAAGTACCAGATCTATCCATAAGAAAATATGGTTCAGTCGGTCAGGCATTTCACCTGATATCAACCAATTTTCGACGCAACAGACAACCAACATGTTTGTGATAATGATGCTTACGAGTAACGTGGTCATTATTTATCCTAAATACTTACTTGTAATAAGAATATCCGCAGAGGGATGTGCTTCCAGGTTTCGCTGGTGAACATCAACTTTCGATTAACTGCCCAAAAAGATTCCGCCTGTGAACAAATAGAGACAACGCTTAAAGCCAGCAGACAAAAGAAACATTATTGCATCAATGCAAAATGAAAATACTGAAGCAGATTCTAATAGTAATGTGATTAATATATGACCTATGGTGTTAGCAGTTGGTTGGATTAACGAGATCCAATTTTTTCCGATGAAGAATAAATCGAACTCGTGCTTAAATTTATACCTGTAGGGCGTATAATGCAGCCGTCATTTGTCTTCGTTCACTTTGAGTCATGGCTGTCATAATTTTCTTGCGGGTCTTCAGAAAATCCGCCTCTTTGACACTGTTCATGAACTGTGCTTCCGCCACCTGAGAGCGCAAATCGACAAGACCATAACACCTTAACACTTATTGATGGAATCATAATACTTGCTGTTATATAGTCAGCCGATAAAGCGTATTTATGCGCTTATGATTCATCAGAACAAAATGCAAAGCCAATCAGCGTACCTGTTTCGTTTCACAGGCTATGAGTTCTTTATCAGGGAAATCACGGAAATGAATAATAATTGTCCATGGCAGTTTCCCACCTCCATGTAAGTCATATAACAGCCCTATTGGCAGGTGCCATCGAAGCATCACAGAACCACTCAGAACCGAAGTGGTATTAATGGGCGTCTCGAGCCATAATTGCGATGAACGATGTTCTTCTGCGACGAACGGTGAAAAGTAACGTTGCACCTGGTCAGAGAAAAGACAAACGAACCAACGTTCGTAGTACGAAACATTAGTTTTAAATACATATAAGAACAATCGTCAATTGTAAACATCTTCCACTGGCAACTTAGCATGAAAAAAATATTTCAAGGTATATAGTGGGTATGCGGTACAGCGCAAATTCAGACTGCTTAATTCGATGTCTAGCTGAAGATATTGCACCGGTAACATAGTATGTTCCAGATGAATGGTAGAGCGTACAAGGCTAAAATTTCCACAGTTCCTATTTCATAGTTTTCTTTCTACGATTTTTTATAGTTCGCATGTGCTATGTACATCGCCAAAGAAACGATGCTTTCAATTAGTAATTACCATAGTGCTTTCGGGCGTCACCTAATATGATTGAATCTGACAACTTTTTGTCGCATTCTGTGAAGACATCATTTGCCCATCTATTATATCTGTTACCATCGAAAATCAAAGAAACAAAAAGGTTAATGGACGAGTAAACCACTAAAATAGTATGCACAAGATTGTCAACACCAACCTTCTCCCATATGAAGGGAAGATACGATATTCTTGGCAACATTATAAAAAATGGATCTGGCGCTTCTATAGAGCTGCAGTCCTGTGCAGCCAACCTAAAGCAAACGGGTATTTGGCCGCTCCAAACTTTGCTCACGGTGTTTCGATCTTCGCAGTGCAGCATCGCTGAAAAAGTTCCCACTCAGGTTAGCGTGAAAGGTAGCGTTTCTACACAGTACGCAGTAGCGTAACGATACCCAACACGCGCTGTCATTATTGATACTATATATTTGATAACTAAAAGATTTACCTCAACAAATCTTTTGCTGCTTGCACTAAAACTTACTTCACTTCCCTTCTTCATTTCACTTAATATATTCAAATTTTGTTTTTAAATGTGATTTCAAGAATTTTAAAATTCACTTAAAAAATGTTGAAAATTTGCTATGTCGTCTCACATAACGCAGACTATTTGCTTATTCAGTTAGATGCTAAAATCACTAGATGCAAAAAAAATACTAAAATTATGCTCCGTTAAAATTTTTTTTCACTTGAACCTGCACAAGATACATCCGGCATTCAGGAGTTATGAAGGGCTTACAGACCGTCTCCTATTTTTTCTATATTAATCCCTTTTATTGATAGTTGTCCTGATGATGAAAAATAGGTGGTGTATGTGGAAGAACAAAGATTCTAGCTGTAACCGACTGAATTCCAGAGGATACAGTTGATTTTATTCATAAATATTAAAAAATGCAAAAAATTATGTCTAAACACTCCTTAATTGAATTTTTGAATCATCAAATAAACAACCTGTTATAATCGCAATTTACGGGATGCACCAATATCGACTTTACCATATTTCGCATGTCGTGTAGTGATATACCTACTACTACTTTTTAATGTTTTTTTTTCTCAAAGTTATCGTTTTTATGCTTTGACGTTTTATGCACATTTCTATATTATCTGGCCATTATTTTTATTTAGAGAAATACAAAGTCGTCTAGTTGAGTGAGCTGACCTGCTCTGTCCTGGTCAAGTCCGTTCGATGAACACTGGCTTAGTCTCTTCAACTGAATTCCACCAATGTTTGAATATTTTGTTGTGCACGCAACACAATAATGTTACTAAATTTCGGAAAGACACCTAAAATAGGTAGAAAGACTCCTGCTGTGGTGTCTGTGTTGTTAAATGTTAAAAACTCACAAGAGAGGGCTACTATTTACGAATTTACACAGGAGCAGACGACAATGTGCATTGATCTCTGCTGAATTTTCCGTGCGGGGGCATACAACAAAAGCAGCAGAACTATTCACACCTCGATATCCAAGAGGAATCATTACATCTACCATGGTAACCTTAATGGAACAATAAAAGGCCGTTGCACTTTGTCTACACACTAATTAACACCTCGGTTTAATCGAACATAGATGTGTTCAGTACTTGCTTTGGAAAATACTTGTATTACAATCGTACAAAACAAATTTTAACCAAATAATCAAGTGCAGAAAAAACACATATTTCACACAAGAAAAACACAAATATTCACATTAAATATTTCGTTAATAAAATACTCTGAAGCATACTTAGTTACCTAGCGGCAAAAAGTTGTCGATATTAGCCGACGGTATGGATTATGCACAAAGTGCTAAACAATAACCTAGGTGAGCGGTGAGCAAAAGGCTAAAAGTCTTTAATCTCTAGAAATCGTGCTTACCAAGAGAGTTTAATGTAATCAATGGTATGGTGAAAGATAATTCAACAATTTATCGGTTAAATCAACTTTATGCCCTCGAACGATATTACAGTGGCAAGTAACCCGAACAGGTGATTCTGCCTCTGATTTTCATCGAAAAACGTTGATGCGTTTCGGGGAGAGTCGCTGTGTTGTCTTGTAATTTCTTTCCTTTCTTTATCCAGTCTTTATAAAGACAAATACTTTTTTCTTTTCAATATAGGTCACATGCAAATAACCTTTATTTGCATTAGGGTGTTTGTACATCAACGTGCGCTGTGTTTTGATCTCGATGCGAGGAAAAAAAATGTGAGAAAAAAAAGCAAAAACGGCTTGACCAAGTAAAACAAAAAACGGTTATAATAACACCACGTAAGTACTAAGCACATTTTTAGTAAATTTTTATTTATCTCGCCAAAATTTTATTCGTTACCGTCTTTCTGTCTCACGCTGTGTCTACCAATGCACCGGTTGACTACTCCAGTTGATCGCAGTATTGTGAATCGTCAAGCCCGTCTGTCTTCGGCTCAGCAGAGACAGGGCGCCATATTGGCGGACAATATTTGTTTCGCGTTGTGGCGGTTAGGTGGCGTAACTATTGCCAGTAAATTCATCGTTAGTTTTGTGAATTTTTGTCGTTTTGTCTCTGTGAAAGCTCTAACTATTACTGATCCTTTTTGAGAATAGATAAACCTCGTTTCACTACAGCACATCGTCGTGTAATTGTGTAATCGATTTAAGCAATATATGTAATTTCGAATGAGCCAAATCGTCGTTATCGCAATTTGATGAAGTGGTGCGCACTACTATTTTTACGTAACAGTCATGGCTGTTAATGATCCAGTAGACTTTATGAAACCAAAGACTGTTTCGATTCGACGAAAAATACGTGCCACCAAGGTACTGCCAAAAAAGAATGAGCTTGAAGTCAGAAAAAGTCAGGATATTTGTTCAGCAAATGGTTTGTCTACCAGGTCTGCACCGGTCAACCCGTTTCGCCGGGCTGTCAAACGTTCGAGAGAAGGCGACGAAGCCGATGACACAGTCCAGCCTAAACTAAAAAAAGAGCAAAACGCTGGAAATCTAATCCAAATCACATTTAGCTTGCCCGTTGTTGATCCTAAATTAGCCGCATTGCCAGTAGAGCTACCGCCAGCGCCCGTAGCAAAACCTTTACGACATATGCCTATTGACTGGTGTTTGAAGACGAAGGTGCGTTTTACTTCGCCAAAGCAGCTGCCATGGAGTGGAATTTTAAAGACGACTGAAGAGGCGAGTGGCATAACTCGGTCCGTGCGCGCTTTAGTCGACCAGCAAAATGATACATCAGCTCAGACACGGTTTCATCAGAATTGCCTTTTCTGGCAGCATCCGTCATTACCATGGGTGTCCCTTTTTCCACGGCAAGGTCAAAAACGATTTGAAGGCACACAGCTAGTTGACAGCCGGTTCCATGAAGTTCTCCAGCTAGATTTCCGACAAAGTTTTAAGAGCCTCTATCAGTTACTACGTGCGAGACAGTGTGCTTTCTTCTACCTTTGTGGACCAGAGTTTACAGCATTGTTTCGCGCAACGGGAACCAGCGGCCTGAGTGATATTCATGCCCTAATATCGCCAACAAGCAAAGGATTCCGAAATACATTGAAAGAGAAGGGTATCGACTTTCAGATGCCGTTACGAAGTGTTATTTCAGCTACAGAAGTGAATGGAACCTCAGAAGATGATGACTTCTTCGAGAGTATCGGCTTAACTCAAGAAGACTTTGTTGCAGATAAACATCGTAACAATTCAGCCTCTGATACAGAGTCAGGTCCAGGGTCCTGTGTGGTGGTAATAGGGGAGGATTCTCAAGCACTCTTTAATCATTTGCTCAACACCGATTTGTCGATTTCTGTTGGCTCACAAGCTGGTATACCGCCAACGCTGCTGGCACCAGTTGCATTTCATGGTGCAGCTCTCCGCTCGCTTAAAGTTCGTCAGACTTGGTTCCGAAATCAGCAGGATCAACGGCTACATGCCATTGAGATGATAGGACCGATTATGCCGCACGTAGTCGATGCTATAAGTACGTTGCTTGCTGAAACACAGGAGCGCTTTACAATGTTGGCTACTCCGACGCCGGGTTCCACCGCTTTCAGCAGGACAATCAACCAGGTGGATAATAGCATGAAGACAGCTATCAGTGTTCCTGGCTGCAATAACAGTGGTAGCGAGGCTAAGGACGACCTAAACGATCAGGCCGGTTCAAACAATGGGGATCGAGATGGTCATGGTTCAGGATCTGGGGCTCCAGAGGCATTTGCCGTTGAAGCACTCAAGGACTGTGGACTACCAGAAACGTTCATCAAGCGATTGTGCTCCACGACTGAGGATCATGGCACCATTATCGAGGCAGAGATGCATGGCGGTAGCTTTTATATTAATACGTGCGCTTAAAAGAGCGAGATACTGTACAGAATTTGTATATGTAGTTGTAGGTTATATGTAATTGTAGGTCTACATCAGTCACAGGCTTTGTTTAAGTAATGTAATTGTAGGTCTAGTAATGTAATTGTAGGTCTACATCAATCACAGGCTTTGTTTAAATTAGCATTATTTATAGCAAATAACCTAACCTAGCATTATTCAGAATTTATATATGTAATTGTAGGTCTACATCAATCACATGCTTTGATTGTGAATTAGCATTATATATAGCATACATAGAAAATACATAGCATTTAATTGATTTAGAGTGATAAGAAAAACTACATAAGAAGATTTACACGGAGTGCATAAGTACAGAGACGATAATGGCAGTTCGTAAAAGAGGCGAAACCTGTGACTACTTCCTGTGGCTCCTTGTGGGTGAGATCACAGTGCCAAATACGTCAACGATAAATTTGTGATCAAATAGATCAAATATATCGAAACAATGAATTCGTAATCACAATAGAAAATATTTGTTGAAAGATTGTGATCTCTTATCTATAATATGATCAGCGATTGCTGTCTGTTATGACAGTCGTTCACAATACCAAATAAATATATCGAAATTCATTTCGAGTTTCAATCTAGAATAGATTACGATATAGAGTCGAAAGTTTTATTCTTTTTTCTTGATTATACGCATATGTAAGAAAGTAGTTAGAATGCACGAAAGTAGACGAAGATAAGACGTATCCGAGTGTATGTTTCTTGGTAGTGTAGCAGTGTTAAAGACCAAGATCGTAATTGGCGTTTCCCGCAATTTTCAGTCTCATGTACTCAGCGAGATGATCCTGGTTCACGAGTTTCATCACTTCGGGGGTAGACGACATTGAATCTATCCAGGATGCAATGAGAGGATACTTTTCCCTGTAAGAACACGGAATTTGTTAGGTCTAGTTCTTAGAGAGATACTTTTCCCTGTAAGAACACGGAATTTCATAGATCTAGTTCTAAGAAACTCTTTACACTTCTTTGTTTGTGTAAAGAGTTTCTCAACTTCGAATCTAGAACACAAATACTTCTAATCTAGAAAAGAAACAATAGTAGTAGAAACTAGAATTTACCTAGGAATTTTCAGATCTGCGTTTGTGTAAAGAGTTTCTCAACTTCTAATCTAGAAAACAGAAAACATGGTAGTAAGAGTTTCTCAACTTCTAATCTAGAAAACAAACAGTAGTAGAAACTAGAATTTACCTAGGAATTTTCAGATCTGCGTAGAGGGTAGTCAGTCCAATTGCGATCTGGAAGAACGGCCAGATCATGAGATCTGTAAATCCTGGCTTATCATTACCTGTGCAACACAAAAAAATCTTTATTTAGTGCAATCGGATAATGAATGAGATAATTCCTTAGCATACGCCAAAAAAAAAACTGCATAAACTTTTTTGTGAAACTTTTTGGCATCTAAAAATACCCGCGACGTATTTGCTGTGAATACTAAAACCCACTGAACGTCAGGAATTGAGACAGCAAATGTGAATGCACGATAAGCTGTGTTTCTGTGTGGGTGAAATGCATTGCTCGGCGACTACTAGCACATCCGTGACAATTGCATTCTATGGAAGACCGCATTTATAGTAGCGAAATGGGAGGACCACATTTATAGTAGCGAAATGGGCTGGGGTTTACTTATCCTGTGTAGAACACATTTCGATAAACACAACATTTCGATAAACACAACATTTCGATAAACACAACATTTCGATAAACACAACATTTCGATAAACACAACATTTCGATAAACACAACATTTCGATAAACACAACATTTCGATAAACACAACATTTCGATAAACACAACATTTCGATAAAATGGTACGAACCTCCAAGAAATTTCATGCCATTTCGATAAACACAACATTTCGATAAAATGCTACGAACCTCCAAGAAATTTCATGCCCCTTTTCTTAAGTTCGTCTTCGACGACTGCTGCATTCGACCAGAATGCGTCAAATCCTTCAGCATACTGCTCTTTATTAAAATACACCTTGAAAATGGGGGAGAAAACAAACGACTCGAGAAAGACCTGCGAAAGATTAGCAGAGGATGAATTGTTATTTGGATGATTATCGTGTGAGTACTATACTATTCCTTTTTTATTTATTTTTTTTTTTTACAAAATAGAAATGTCTTACTTTGTCTAGAGCTTTTTTGTACGGGTCTTGAGGAAGGAGCTTGCGACCACTGCATGTCTCATCCAAGTACCTGAAATAATGATATACTGATGATTAATGATGTACTGATTATATAATAATGATAGGTTAATACAACAAAATGAATGATGATATCACCGAGTGATAATATGATTGTACGGATATGATGGACTTACTGACTTGCTCTGAAATAACATAAGTGACTTACTCTGAAATAACCATGGACTCCGGTAGGAGAACTCCGTCGTTTTCAAGAAGAGGGACCTTTCCTGATGGTGACTTGCCAAGATACCACTCCGGTTTTGATGCCAGATTGATATTAACCACCTCGTGGCTGTTATGATGTTATCCATACGTTAGTGATTTATGTTACCCACACATTACGTTATCCAGTCATTAGTGATTTATACTGAATATACATTATTATCCAGTCATTAGTGATTTATACTGAATATACATTAGTGAGATATACATTAGTGACTTACGGAATTTCTTTCGCGAGGAGAACGAGGAGTGAACGCGAGGCAAATGGGCAGAAACGCATCGAGTAGATCCGGAGCTGCCCCGCAGCACGGGATGGCTCAGTTGAACCTTAAACAAATTGGGGGTGGGATGGATATTATGAACTATGGGTGGGATGGATCCAAGTTGAACCTTAAACAACTATGGGGTGGGATAGGGATGGATGGGGTGGGATAGGGATGGATATTATCAAATACGGGTGGGATGGATCCAAGTTAAACCTTGATCCAAGTTGAACCTTACACAACTATTTGAACCTTACACAACTATTGGGTGGGATGGATGCAAGTTATACAACTATGGGGTGGGATGGATTCAATGTTGAACCTTAAACAACTATCGGGCGGGATGGATCCAACAAGAAAAACGAGTTTCGGGTGGGATGGATCCAACAAGAAAATCGAGTTCATATAGTAAATGCTTTGTAAAATATAAAAAAATAAGTAAAATTATCGTATCCTTTCTGTACCAGCTGCGAACGCAGTCGCCGGCGGAGTCATCGTAGACGCGGAGCTGTTGTGTGTTGACAACTGAAACCATTTTAAACAGTCTGCATTAATTCGGTAAGCTCACCCTGTGCCAAAGTCTCACACGGTCAAACATTAATTCGGTAAGCTCACCTCACAGTATAGAGCTTCCTCACTGTGCTGATTGACAACCTAAACAATTTTATCGCTCCTCTACAAGTGTTAATGAGCTACACATACCGAGGTAGGGTTCTGTTGATTTTTTGGTAGCGGACGACACCGCGTATCACCAAACACAAGGACGGTTTCGCTTAGCAGTAGGCGAGCTCCGTATTGACTACTGTGGTTAGATCAATGGTCGCCGCATTTAATAGTCTTTCGAGCGACTCGATTTTTCGGGCAATTGGATTTTTTAGCCGATTAAATTTTTCGAGCCATTATTCTGCAAAGTCGCGGATAGATGGATTAATCGCTGTCGCCGTAATAACAATTGCAGTACCATACTCTTGAACGGGATATTTCTAACTATTAAGCAGAGATTAAGATGCATAATTTCGATAAGAAGCCGAAGTTTTAGATTAAGGTCTACACGAGCATTTACTGTGACTTTCTCGAACCGCTCCGCCATCTTTGGGGCAGGAAGCTTGATTAAGAGCTGTAATGTAATAGGAAGTATTAATTTGAAAGGAGATTTCGTCAGTATTAAGCACTTGGGCGTTATAAGGAATGTCAGTCATTTGATACAAAGGATTCACTGTGTAATCTGCTTTGTGGCAAAGAGGTATCGTTTGACCTTCGTAACTTAGGCCAACCCATAGGTATTTGCCACAGACACAAGACTACAAAAAATATGATTAATAAAAACATTTGAAAATGTTCGTGAGAGTCTTCAATGAGGCAAAACAGTCATTGCTGCTGTTACTCAGCATATCTCAATCCACATTACCTACACATACATGTCTTACTTGGCGGGTGAAAGTTTGAAGCTGTGAACAGTATTTAACAATGATGCCTTCCTTATCTAACGGATGCTCATACTTGTATACAAATTAGGATCTAACTAGGATCAACTGCTGCTATTTTCTCCACACAATTTCTAATAAATCGCAAGTAAATTGATATATAATCATTCTAAATCGTACCTATGGTTATCCTCTAAACGAGGAAGTACCGGCAGGGCGATTATATTTGAAAATGTCTGATCCTAAAAATCCGCTTTTACCCTATTTGGGGTTGCTAAGTCCCAGACTGTGAGTCTACCTCACAGCAGGCGAACATTGTACGAGACAACCACTAAAACGTCGTTAATGGAATTAGAATTCGAAGCCTCTTCGATGTAAGTGGTGACGAGTTTATTTAGACTTTATTGACGTATGTCAAATCCTACCCTACCAATTGCGACACATTTTTGTAAAAGCTTTTTTAGTTAAGTCTTTTAAAAGTTCAGTAACACTAACGTCTGTGACTGTTTACCCGAAGACGAAATGAAAATGAACGTCACAATGTATATTCGTATAAACTTTTTTTTATTGATAAGCATTCGCTTGGGACGGAATAGGAGGGTGGTGTACACCGTCAACGTTGTTCCTTGCACTATGAATCCCTGTCTGTTTCATGGGCTTCTTTGTTAGAACGAGTATTGCCAATCGATCAACAAGTAGACCCGTTAAATATTTGTAGACAACTCTTCTTGACGATTTCCTTATAAAAACTAGTTTTTGTCGTGACTTCTTTTCCCCCTGGAAGTTTGTTATTTGATGCTAGGTTTTTTCACGTCCGGCCTTTCACATATGTCTCTGAAATAGGGCACACGTCGCTAGAGCGCTTGTTCGTTTCACGCTTTTATTAAGCTGGATATTAAGGATAACGTCGTGCCACTCTAGTAACCCCCTCCATGGTGAAATACTTGTTGAGTCGTTGTTCCTATACTTTGCATCCTTCACGGACCTCGGTACCACCATTAAACACTGCATAGCAGAAGTATATACTGTGGATCCAGTCGCGATCGGACTACACTATGTTTAAAATTACGTGGCTTTTGCCTGAAGTGTTCGGCAGTTCGCTATAGTTGTTTCTTGCGCTATCACATTTACGTGAATGTCTGATGACCGCTAACTAAACATTCGTTGCACACGTCGACAACGATACAGTTTTCTGGTCGCAGAAGTAATGAGTTTAGTGAGGACACGATGATGGCTGCAAGTTCGTCCACGAGGGGATGTATAAGATACAACTTGGCGTCGATGTTGGCATTTGAGGCTATGGAAAACTACGATTTATTAATCCGATCAAAACATCAGTTGAAAACTAGGAACTGCATATTAGCAGTTTACGGTATATCGGCAGCCAATAAGTCAATGGTCAATCCACCTACCGCTTCGTTGAATATGAGCAGATCCGGAGACTTCGTTATCCGAAAGCCAATATCGATGAAAGCGATCCTTCTAATATCGGAGAGTTGTTAGCACGTCTAATTAACCTACTCGATGATATTTAAAGACAAATTCACCTGCGCTTAGATAGCCGATACTATGAGTTTGTACAGCTAAGCAGTGAGTGCCTGCGTAAGTTTGGAGGCGTCTGCTGCAAATCTCGGTAAGAACTGAGAAATCGATTCTAGAATGTAAGTATCATTGTAGTGGCTTGAGAGAATGATACTAAACTATTGAATCGGTGGATAATACACGGGTGTTGTGGCATATATTACGAGGTTTGAACGAAGCCTTGCTGATCTCTAAACGAACTTCTAAGACCCATAGCGTATACGTGAGAATGTACTCTTTTATTTTAATATTGTCATACTTATTGTATTTAATTTTTTTATTTAGGTCGCACAAATTTATAATATATATATATATAGAGCCCCGGGTAAGACTCCATAGAGTGACCTTCACTAGTAATTTTTTCAATGCTGTCTAAAAAATTAAAAAAACAAAGTTAAAATTTCTCTAAAATCTGAAACCATTTCTTCGACGTCGAGGTCTAATGTAACGCACAGCAAGTGATATTCCAAAACTAAAAACATCCAGAACTTTTACATGGACACATTTTTGTTTTATTTACATGATATATTCGATACTATTAGTGAGAAAGTTATGTATGTACACAGAGTGATATGCTTATAGATATTCTTGCTCAATATCTTTCAAAATTAACTCGTCCGCATCATCGTATGCTGGGCCAAAATCCCTGAAAGATAAGCAGATTTTCCTATTTCATGACAAATAGGTTTTTACTTTTTTTATAGCTAGTCTGGTAGCCTCGTCTTTATTCACCAGCAGCTTTCTGTCACAGATCCACAGAGTCTGTTGAAGGTTATTAGATTGGTTTTCAAAAGTCCCGCTGATAGCTTAATGGGTAAGGTATTTGCATGCGAATCTTAGGGATACGAACCCGAGTTTAGACAGACTTCGCTTCGCGCTGGGAACCAACCTCCTTATAGAATAATAGCCTAATGCCGAGTGTAAAACTCGAAATATAAAGAGGTTGGTTTTCAAATGTGAGGCTTCGTTGTTTGCAGTCGTCTTTCAAAATTTCGAGTTTCACATCCGGTGAGACGCAAAACGAAGCGTGTCTGTGCTCGGGTTCGTACCTAGAGCACTTATCGCAAAGACTCGCACGCAAATACGCTACTGACTGAAGTATCACGGGGATGCATTCGCCTTTACCTACGCAGTATCGAATGCTCTCTTAGCTCACAATGCTAGTCATCATTAGTTGAGAGGGAGTTTGAAATCAACTATACATAGAAGTATTTTACACTTGAACAGTTTATTCCACCACTATAGGGTTACTTGAAAAATGAAGAAAAACATTTTTCTGCATTCTCTTTTTTGCTGGATGGTGCCATCATTCGATACCAAATACGGTTATTTTTTGTTTAGTATGAATGGTAAGATGTCAAGTTTTATCGGAATCGTGGTTGCTAAAGATCTGACTATGAAAACAATGGATGTACGCAGTTATAATAAGTCGATGTAATTGAAATTAGCAGCAATCACTGCTATTCATAACCATATCAGTAGGTTTAAAAGATGTATTATTAGAACTGCAGGCGAGTTATAACCAGGGCAGTGGAACAGTTCAACTATTTACTAGACCTTCTCACGATTCGCAAAATAAACGGCTGTAAAATTGAGGAAGCCTTAAACTTTATCAAGAAGCAAATTTTTGTCATTTTGTCAATTTGTGTGCGTGAAAAAGCCGGGCGCACGAATGTCGCAGTTGCTTGTTTCATCTTACATTAACCGCTTACCTATTAACTGGCTTGCTCGCCGATGATTTACTCGTGGTTGACGATAACGATGATGAAGTTACTGCGGTCATAAAACCTCTTAAATTAGGACTTTCCGATTGATTTTCTGGGGTAGACAACAGTGAAAAGCGGGATCCACTGCTTCCTGCTGATCCCTAAAGAACAAGACAGTTAATAGAAAACAGGGCGAATGTATGTATAGATGTGCTCACATGTTCTTACGTAATATGAATACCTAAGTGCATACCGAAGTGACCTGATACCGAAATCACTTATGATACAAAAACATAATCACCACAGGTAAAATACATATCAAATCTTAGTACACCGTGGACTGCGGCCAATGTGAACTCGATGGACGAAAGTACATGCTTAGATCAATTTGGATTGACTTCGATAATCTGCATAGCCTCCGCTGTTTGCACACACGTATGCATATATATATGCATGAAATGCTCTTATTCTCTACCGTAGTGCTACCAGGGTATACGATAATCCAAGTGTAGAATACTTCAAATGAAGCTTCAAATCGAGTAGATATGGGCGATGCGCCAATTCTAGTGAAGTTTAGAGACTAGGATTTGCCAAATATATAGCAGTCCTACGAATTACGTTTATAATGTAGGTAAAGCAAGATACTGTTCAAACGAATCTTATTCATTCTACGTTTAGAATACAATTGACATCTTAATGCCTTAATCCGCTCGTGTGATAGTCGTTTATCAATTGCAGTCTAATAAACCTTAAAAACAATGTGCATTTTGCGAGTTACACCTTGCGTTGTTTACAATCGTAGTTAGCAAGTTGTACGATGAAAAATACACAGTGTTTTGTGTCAACGATATAGAAAAGCGTAAGGAAAAAGTGTGGTACGAAAAAATAAATAAATAAAAACGTATTGAAACTAACTCAGGCGAAAGGAGTAGTGTCCTGTAAGACACTACTGTTTCGTTGGCAATCCTAGTGTTTAAGTTTGATTTCACTTATTGCGTTGGTAATCCTAGTGTTTAAGTTTGATTTCACTTATTCTATTTAGTTCGTTTTTTATTTTTATATTAATGGTTTATCGGAAATGCACCACCTGCCTGTTGATTGTTGGCTCTAACAAACTTGTCGATATCGAGATCGTCTTGGGCAGGATCTGTCCGACCGTGTCTTCTGCTTTGATCGAAACGAGCCGTGTAGTTTTCTGTTGAGCGCATCAGATTGTTTAGCAAAATGGGAGCTCTGTTTAATCTGAAAGGTGCACGATAACCAGACAGAGATTAGTAGATACCAATAAACATAGGTCGCTTAATAGTTGAGTTAATTCACAGGCAATCTAGTACATGAAGAGAATGGTGTGCTATACTTAGCCTAAATTATTAGAAACGCCACCTCATTATTTGTGATAATTATGATATTGAGAAAAAAAAAAAGCCCAGATAAATACTTGCAACTAAACCAGTTAAACGTTTCGATAGTTTTCAACTTAAAGTGCGTAGTAATTTCTCGATACGTTGTATAACATTCTACTATACTGAAGGCGAGCTAGACCGTTAGGTACGCAAATCACAAAAAAATTTTCTTAAAAGCAAAGAAAATTGAAGAGTTTCATTATGTTACGAGTGTTAAACCGAGCTGAAAAGAACGAACAAGTTAGAGTCAATTATAGGTTGTAAATTAAGTCGACTCTTTACCGACCTGGTTGGTCTGTAATTGCGTCTTGCCTCTCAGTGTATCCTGATCTCAGCACTTTGCCAGACAGTAATCAAGCATTCAGGTGTTGAATCTATGTTTCAGCCTCAACTGGTAAGAGGGCGCTGATCTCGAAACATTCAACTCGTAAAATAAACGAATAGAATAAAAACTAGTCTATAGATCACGTTTTCAGTACACCTATAAAGACGTATATATATAGGCATAAAAATATAATAATGAGTCGAGTCATATTTGTAGGCCATTGTAATCATATCAAATGAATTGGATCTCTGTTTAGCGGCAACTGTTTAAGCTTAAATGTTTTGCTAAGCCTACAAAAAAACGGTGTATGATATGCGTTTAAGAATATAAAATGTACTATATAAGCGTTGACGATAGTTTTTGCTCTATTATTGATAGAATTATTGCTCAAATGATCCAAGAATGTGTCTGGTTGATTTTCTAGCCAACCGCAATAAAATTATCATTATATTAATGAGGTTTGCGTTATTATGGCAAGTATTTCATGTACGTATATGCATGCAATAAATAGTTTATTTTGCACAATTCGAAAGTATTGAGTGATATGGGTAATCACAAACGTTCGAATCAGAGGGGCATCTGTTCAATATATCGTCTTATAGTTGCGTAAACGAAATTTCCTTATAGAGACATATTTGGTTTAGGTTTTTTACTGTCATGGAAGGTTTTAGGCGCATGCGATCTTCCAAACATACTCTTTCGCTTACTGTTATGTATGTGAAATGTAGCTTTACAATTTTCTCCCGTGAGTTTTATGATTCATAATGTCAAAAAATGATCGCTTAGCATGCAATGGCGCAGCTACCTTTTCCCGGAGCGTTTATACAGCCATTGGTTATATGAGACTGCTTATACTCTCTCTGAGGAAATCAACCCGATTTGAACAACCTTAGGTCTTTCAGAATGTTACTGAATTCATCACCGATGATTTAAAAAAGGAAAATACTCTTTCCACTTGCCTTAACTTTTCTAAGACCGTTTTCGAAGACTTCATATGAACCCCGTTGCCTCCCACTCTGAATACATATGTTGTACTTGGAGGCAAGAGATTTGCCAATGTCTTTCGGGGTTGAGACGTCGGCTTGCGACACGTGGCACGGGAAACGTTGATTCGAGGTACAGATGCTCGCCGCTGAAGCATGATCGGAGGAACACGCTCACGACTATAAAAAAATACAAACATGACGACAACCAGTATTCAGATGAAAGCGAACAAATCTAAATAAAGTGTTCGATTATATATCGATGTGGTGTAGATATAAGCGAATCATAAACAGCAACCAAAGACTTAACGTTTCTTGTGGGAGACGAAAAATGCGAATAAATTGAACTGTTTGCAGTAGATTTTGTATTCTTGCGCGTCTCGCACTGCTGTCACATACATCAACCATGGATAAGATATTGATATGGAAATATGTACGCGCTCTGGCTTAATATTTACTGTATTTACTACTTTCACGACTACGTTATATATATTGAACAGTGTAATTGTGAGCGTCAAAACCAACACTATTTTCTATTATAGTCATGTTGAAATGAGTACGAAAATCGAAGGCAATTTTCAGTTAAAAACCCAGGCCATTTATTGTTTAATGCCAAACAAATAAGAAACTCATAGATACATTAATAAATTGCTCGTAAACGGAGTTATATGTACTAATATATACATATATATATAGTACATACAATATGAGAGTGATACATGTAATTCCGCTTCCAAGCAGTTTACCAATGAATCTATGACCTTTTAGTTTGGATTTTTAGCCAAAAACTACCTTCCGATCACTTATAATAGCTCGTCGATTTTTGTGCTCACAAGTGCAGCTGCTACTGTAAAAATAATAAACACATTTAAATAAGAGCTACTGTTGGAACTGTAAGATCACATATTTTCTATTGTAAATCTACGCTTACGGCCTGTATGTTCTATTTCCATTTTTTAATTTCGTGGCCAAAGCCGGAAATTTTGCAATTGCGACATGAAACGAGTTTGAAAAAAAAACTGTAATGTAAATAGTCCGAACCTGGTTGTTTGTGAATACCGCCGTGGTTCAAATCCTGTCGTGCTAAATAGTCTATCGCCAAAGGTCTTATTACTGCGAAAATTCCCTGTAGGCTGAGTGCCGGCATTTCGGTCTCGAAGCATCCTAAACGCACCGTCGTTGTCATCCATATCCAGTTGCAGATCTTTTGTCAAATCCTCAATTTCCTGTAATGATTAATAAAACAATGGAACGTTAACGGCCATTTTGAAATTCGTCTTAAAGAAATGACGTAATAACCTCTTTAGTTGAGAACAGATAATGCCAAAACAATTAGAAGCGCCGCCGAGTAGCCAGTATTTTGCAGTAACCTTATCAAATAACTCACGTTTGAGCTGTAGGATACGAACCTTACGCCAAAGACAATCTTATTCATAGTCGTCACTACGTACCTGAATGCTGCTCTGTATGTCGGGATCCACTTCGACGATACGGGCTTTGTCCTTATACCATTCTTCCTGCATTGTGTCAGGAATATCGGGCATCAACGAAGGCTCAAAAGGCGCCGTTGTCCAATCGTTAGGTGGTAGCGGAGTGGCCACGCGAGGCGGTAGCGTATGTAAAAGGGCGACCTGTGGGGACTGTGAATTTTCCGCGTGGTTTTCGCCACTGGTGCTCGTATCACGGGGCGGTATTCCAATTGTTTGACTGGGTCTGTCTATGACTCTGGATGGAATCGAAGTTTCTGTCGGCAATGGGTGAAAGTATGTACGCAGTACTGAAGCAGTCCCTTCTGCCGGCAGTAGCGAAGAATCAAGGGTATCTGTCCGCGGATGCACAGGCGGCCTAGAGCTTTTGGGCAAAAAATGAGAAAAAATGTTTCTAGGTCAAACCAGCTTCATTTGCTCATATTTGACTAGTAAGAATATATAGAATAATATTTTGCTTTGTAAGTGTTGGCTCGCTTGACACAATTCAAACACGAATTTGATATATCCTTTTAATTCAGTTGCTCACCTAGTTAATTAGTATAGGTGAAGTAGCAACATTAGGTAAACCAAGTCTGCCAGAAGATATGCCTTTGTTTCAGTTAGGGTATAGGTTAATTTATTGACCAACTTGTTGCTATAATAGCAACAAGTATTATTATAGCTACTATTGTAATGCCGTCCATACAATGCCCTCTTGATTTGCAGGTAGCAGTCGACTTTAAAGTTTTGGCTTGAAACCCAATACTTACTCGTACTCCACGGAATTTAAAAAAGAGAACTCGCCCAAACAAGTAGCTAAGTTTGTGCTTACGAAGGGAAGGAAATATTCCGAATCTTACTTTTTGATCGTAGTGATTCACAAGAAATAGGAAGAAACAATGTGATGTGCAAATACACAAAAAAAAATAAATCTACTTGTTGTCTAATATGGAATTTGTTAATATTCGTGACGCCTATGCTAATGCGGTGGCCTGTAAAGCATACCCTTTTGTAGGCAACAAAATACTTTTTTGCCACCAAATTTGCAGAAATAAAGGACAGTGCTTACTTATAAAGGCGATATTAGCGATTCCTGAATACGAACTGAGCAAATAAATTAGCGCGGAGGCGGCACCCAGCAAATCGAATTAATCAAATTGGTAGGGCAACAGGAGGTGTGACAGGTAAAAATAATCGAAAGTTAACCATACTGAAGCTATTGTGATAAAACATGTGTGGTTACCGAAGGCTAACTTTTGAATAGCGTAGCAATGTACACTCGTCCTTTGAATGCGGAACAGACACAAATTAACCCTGAAAGCCAAATTATTTTGTCTTCCGAAGGTGTACAACAAATGTAGATTCATTGTTCCTAAAACGTATAACGCTCATGCTTATAACCTCGAGAACAGAGAAACTTGTTTTTGTAAAAGTTTCAGCGTAGTTTGTTAGTAACTACCGACCGATACACTATCACATGTGCAGGACCACTTGAAAAATCAGTCTTTCATATATCTTCACAAAGCGCATGAATAAAAGCAAAGCGGGATAAGACAACGACGCGGGTGTCGACGATTGTCTCCGGACAGAAGGACATATTCTAATGTGCTATACCTAAGCCTAAAGCAAACGCTCCATTGTTATCTTTTTTGGATTTGCAAAAGATGCGCGAAATTTTAAAATCATTTTTTCTGTCGAAATGTATCAGTACACTAAACGTGTACCGTAGGAGCCCTTTTAAATGTCTGTATAACTGCCATTAGGGAGGTGAAAATGCCAAACATTCTAACCTCGATAGCAAAACAAAAAAGATGCAATTGGAGCTTATAGGTGCGGTATAACTAAACAAAAAAGAAAAAAACAAAGATTGTGATGGTGCAGTGTCTCTATAGGAGAACGCTGAGAGAAACCAAAAAAGTTATGCTCGGGTGGAGAAAAGCAGTTAATAAAAAACAGCACCCACTTCTGATGCATAAGTAAGCCGTTCATGGCCATCTAAAGCCAGCTGCGTCATTCATTCGAGGTCACAAGAGCTCACCTCCAAAGCATTCTCACGTCTGGCAACTCAGTTGTCGTAGAAAATTAGTTAAGACATCTACTGTACACGTTCGCAAGAAAGGTGAGTAGACCTAGTGAACTCTTCAGGGGTCATGGTGATAATCCTTCCTTGAGCTTACATATTTAACGTGTAGCTTCAACGAGATAAAGATCCTAGATGTTGAAATAAAAGCATAATAATCATAATACCAAGGGGCAAAAAATATCCAGTAAAACCATCAGCATAGAACGAGAATCAGGAAAAAAACGGGTTGCTTTCCTATTTGGTCATGCGACGATAAATTTCCTTCACAGAAGAGGTTGGAGTGCTATGGATTACCGGAAGCGAAGATCAACGACGATCGGCATTACAAAACACTTTCGTCCGATTAAAACAAAGCGACCGCATCTGTTGAAATATGAAAGGATTTACGGACACAATCTCGCGTTCTTCAAAAGAAGCGGGTACAATCACAAATGACAGACCGGTGTAGCTTGCGACGATGATGGCAGTCTTAATCGAAAATGCACAAGACACTAAGCAATCCATTGAGTAAACTATAAAAAAACGGGAAAGAAAGATGGCGGACATTCATTCTTAATTCTCTATAGTGCCAGCAATGGTTAATAGCAGCTGGAAAGATTGTCACAAAAAATCGACGTGTCATAGCTACCTGGCTCGTCATACATGGCTTTCGCCACAAAGTTGATAGTTTAAAAGAAGGAGCCGAGTCAGAAGAACTTGTAGCTGTGACTGCTGCGTTAATTCTTGGCCCAGGTATACGTGACACTAAGGATCCATCCAGTATGTAAGTGAATGAGGGTCGACGACAAAACAATACATAACTGGTAAAAACTATGTTAAATATAAAAATAAGTTTGACCAGCGTCTAGCGTACATATCATGCACCACTTGAAATAATAAGTTAAGTTTACCGTAAGGCGCTGTTATCACCAAATTTATCAGTAGTGTTTGTATATAATTGCAATGTACCTCTATATACTAGAATGTATAGGTTAAAATATTGCTTTATTATCATACATGTTGTCTATACGCGACGTGTTGCTGCCACGTTTTAATTTTCAATATGATTGAAATTCGAGTATTGGCATTTTTAACTACTGGACGTAGATGGTAACTTTGGACTTAGTTAAAAAAATCATTCGAAATTATCTCACGATCTGCACTAGTTCAAATTGTAACGAAAGACCTTACAATACGAAAAAATTGATCGTGAAAAAAGATATTTTTGTTAGATTGTAGTAGATGTGGGCGTAATATCTTTCAATATTATGGTTGATACGATGCCATGACTGACATGAGAAGTAACTATACTTTTCTGTTAAACATTAACATCCACTTATGGCTTCCTAGTCGTGGAGTATATTTGGTCGTTTACTAGGAACTGCCTATTATTCAATCGCCTTTTTGCAGTTACTGTAGCGGATAGAGCTCAACAAATATGCAAGTTCGCAGACTAAAAGCTGCAAATGATGCCTTGATAATCTCTGAGGGCCCATCCATGTCAGTGTATTTAAACTCTAGCCAGTGCCGACATATTGGCCGAATAAGTTGAAAACGTAAAAACCAGTTTCGTAGATCCAAGACCCTATTACAGTTTAGTTATAGGCTGTGTTTGCGAAATAGTCTTGATGGATGTTTTTCCTTTTGTTAAGGTCTGACGGAAATGCGACATAACAAGGAAAATTAAAAAAAAAAAAAGGATCTGATTGAGATAGGCCGATCATATCAGTTTTACTGGAACAAGAACTTTGGTTTGGACAAAACCTTAGGCCGAAGTCGTCCTAGAGCAGATGGCTGTTAAAATTTTCAAAGCGCTGATACGAGAATGCTGGCTAAGTGTTCTTCATACATGTGCTTCCAGCTTGGGTTTGCTAGAATTTTTCTTGGCCTAAAAAACATCTCTCCCCTTCTTTTGTCGACCTCGGTCTATTTAACATTTCAGATTGTGCCCATCATTTCTGGTGCACAAACTGATACCCTCTGTATTATTCGAACCCGCACTTTTAGTGGACCTAGAGTACTATATCGCTTTGGCGTTTTTAGCTTTCCTCACATTTCAGGACTAGCCCATCTCAACAGAGAGTGTATGATTTACGCACGACGCCACGAAGATGGGAGCCTGTCTGAGCATAGACTTTACCAACCACAAACGGTAATTAGAATCCAAAAGAAAAAATAAGATAAAAATTGTTTGCCGAGTTAATACTTCTGCGTAATGTCGAAGCAGGATTGAGTAGCAAATGTGTATTTTTTACAGCTAGCACTTTCAGTGGTAATAAGGGATTACAGACTCGATGCTAATAATTTAGTTTGATTCTATATCTATCTTGTCTATATCTATTGTGAATATTAATGAATAACACGGTATTGATGCAAATTTGGCTGGTTTCTGAGTGGTGGTATTTTCTATCCTTGGTTTTGCTTACCTGGTATGAACATCCGCTTGCACTTGCAACAGGGATTTATCCCGTATCGCGCGTACCATTGCTCCTAGCAACATCCTTATATTCCTATGGCAACATTACGGCAAGACTTCGGCACTTCAAGGTACAGTGTAATCGCACTAGACTCAGTTGATTTGCCGACCGCGCCGTTCTACGATTCTGAATACACGTATTCCCGCCTGGACAGTTTGATTTGTTCAACCGTTTAATGTCACCAAATGCTCTGCACACTATGAGTACTTTAACAAGGCAGATCTAGCGTTGTTTTGTTTATTATATTTATTTTATTAGTATGCTATTCAACGAAGATACTCATTATGTTGTAATACTTAGTGATCATACATGAAAATGGCAAGATGTCCAGTGCGGACAGACATGTGCATTTCAAATAGTCAAAGGACTCAGTCGCGTGCTAACTTCGAAAACCCTTTATATAAGCCAAGGTCCTCAATCTGAACAGTCTTCAATGATGCCATTTCAACATATTGATAAATAAAGGTACATACAATTTGCTATTTCTCAGTTCAACGGGGCCTGCACTTAATGGGATCACCAAAATCAGGCCGTGACCTAGCACGCATGTGTCTCGTTCGTGCCTAACATCCTACATAGGAGAAGTGTCTATCTGTATCACCGCTTCCACAATTTGCAAAATCCTATGTGAGAAAACGGATAAATAAAGCCAAGAGAACAACACCACGTAGCCAACAGTGCATGACGCACTCCCGATTACTTTTATCTTGCCCCCGCCATTGCCGTCAGCGCAGTAAGAGAAATTGGCTCGGACATAGTGCTAACGATCGATAGTTCGCACTGCAGCCATCACGGCTATAACGACTGTTGTTATTCGAGACGAAGCAGACATTACTGCTGAAGTAGTTGCAAAAAACCAGGGATCAGGTAGAGGCAGCCAAACATCTAACTTCATTTTTGACTACCTTATCGTGTATCCCACGCACACGGTAAGTCTTCAAGGCTACGCAGTACAGGCTGCTAGAAGTCCGCAATAAATCGATCCCCATATCGGGCCATCCTTATTTTAGATGGATGCCGGCGTCCAATAACAGTGGACATAGAAATGTCTAAATACAAATAAACAAGTCGAAACAAGAACGAATGTAAGATCGCATTTGTCAGTTTTCAAGTAATATCAGGTTGTTCCTGATAGAGGCATTAACTTAGCATAATAAGTTATTTGTAGAATTCTGGCTAGAATTTGGCTCAGAAGTAAACGGTCTCTTAGAATTTGAGGCAATTCACTCTAACGTTAGTTTCAATACGGTACGGTAAGCAGCTCACAGGTCGTGGTATCACTGTGTCCTGAAAAGTGGGACTGATATTAGACTACCAAGTTCAATGAAATGATCTTTCTAGGAGATCAATGAAAGCAGCAGTATAAAATAACGATCTTAACGTTAGTCAAACGTAAATGCTAGGTGTGCCTTCGACAGTGGTTCGATACATTCGTATTGCTTCGGGTCTGATCTAATAAAGAAGGGCAGACATTTCGTTGAATGCTAAAGTTTCTGCATAGTATTGCGGTCTAGGCAGCTTATAGACAACATATTACATACACACACTGCGGTGACGGAATGAACAGACCTCACATTGGTTTCGCTGAAACACCGTAATTAACACTTTACAGTTGTTTGCCAAATAAATAGCAAACGATGAATTAAACGGTCTAAATCGAAATTATGAGCTTAACACTTAGTCAGTTTTAATTAGTGAGTAAGCTAAAAGAATAATGGATTTAATTTTGGCCACAGGTCTCACTGTTGCCTAATTTGAGCCTTTTATATTGGCCGCATAGATCGGACTGACTTACAAAGGAACCCTCTTTGATTAGAGTCCGAATTCGAGGCCTACGAGCGGTATGCTGTCGTTGTTATTTCCACTCAGATCTACATATCACCGATGCCGACGGTTTCTAACGTTCGCATAACGATCGAAACACTAATTGACTCTGAGGATACCTTCCCATTGCCATTGCCAAGGACGCCGGTTATTCAACGTGGACAGCGTCGAAAAGCGGTAAGTACTTAACCGGACGCATCACTCATGATTGTGTTGTTATAAATACAACGAATTAGCCACATACTGAGCTGTTCTTTTGCCCGGCAGGATCTCGCCGTACCGACCGCAATATAATTCGTTCCAGGATTTTCAGCTCAATGCTTATCGACTATGTAAGCTAGACGCTACATAATTCGAACATCCTCGAAAAATTTGGTCGTCTTGAGTGATTTACTGATTGGCCCTATGCAGCTGTTGTTACTGATGAATCAAATAGCTCTAGAGCTTGGTGAAGTTGCTTCTTCATAAAACTAAGCACTCGTATCTTCTGGAATATTCTCATTCGTGGACAAAAATATTCGAAAACGTCTACCCAATAATGCTTCATTATGGCACAAGCATTGTGAATGGCTTCCTGGCTGGCCTGTTCGATGAAATTTATCAAATGTTTAAGGTTTCCAACCTCACATTTAAGGTAATTGCAGTTCGGCTAATCGGTCTACATAATTGTTGTTAGCTATAGAGTAATATCAGCGATTCCTTATTATTCGATATTTAGTACCTTTGTGTGTGAGTCTGTGCACGTGAGTATATGTATATACAGGGCTACATGCCAATCAGTGTGACGATAACTGATATACAAAATTACTCTTCTTGAAGAAAGGAGCTACGGGGTGAATGATAGTATTTTTAAGGAATATCTCCTAACGAATGAAAAGATAGTATATTCAAAAGTCTCCCATAATCGACCCATAATAGCTTAATAAACTTAGCTACATTGTAATTAAAGTGAAAAGTACACTCCACTTAAAGGGTGCACAGACACCCTCTCCAATGATATCTGTCCAAAGTAAATTGCAAATGAGCTTGGCCAAGATTACCTCAGGCCACAGCGGTCGACTTTAGCTTCGTTGATCCCAATACACGACGCGTTATACTAACGGTGTTTCCACGCCGCAAAAATTGGTAAACTGATGGACGTTTAGGACTTTTTCTCCTTAACGTTTTCTCAATGAAGCATTTAAAAGTGTGCACTTCGGCGAAAAAAGCCTCAAGACGTACCGGTTAATAGTGGCAATAATGGCTAAAAATGCAACTAGTTTTCTGATTACTAAGTACTCGACCGTTTTAAACCATGTTACTGCAAAACATTACCTAGTAATATAGTAAATGCGACACAGCTGTCCTGTGAACCGAATTAGAATACATATATCGTGGGGCTGATTGCTTTGCACAATCCTCTAAACTGTTATTCGTTTCTCAGTATGCTTATTTTTCTTTTTTAAATATTTTTGTTCGATTCATTTAGTAATGAGAAGAAGGCATCTAGTTGAGCGTCCTGAAGTTAATTTTAACTGGTCAATATTACTTCTATTAAGTGCGCTTACTATAAACGATATCGTCGCAATATTACCATTCCAATGTCCCGAATGTCCTGTCTGGCCAGACTGCCAATTTATTTCGTAGTGCACTTTACGTAATGGAAGCTTCTGGGTATTTTGTGTCTAAACTGTTTGTCTGCACTTTACAATAATACCTCAAGTCTTGTGCAAGCTTTTTAGTGACATTTCCACATGCTGGAGCGCCCACTTCGAATCACCGCCATACGTTATACTTCATGTTATAGTTAGGTATAGTCATTTCTTCTTAATTCACGTGACTACGCCAAATGTATACATGACAGGGCAAATCAGCAGTCGGCCCACGTTTATAGCTCAACATCGAGTGACAAATATTATATCGCTCAATCTACCTTGGTGCTTGATCGGTGCAAGTTTGATCTTTAGGTATACACCCATGAGTCATTTCCATCTAGATGCAAAAAATGCTCCCTTCAGCCACTCTGATACGCCAGTGGAGTCGAATAGTGTAGATGGAATACAGGTATTTATTTAAAAGGTCTTTTACGGAAAGTGGGTTTATTTTATTATCAGACGGATTCGTTTCGAGAAGAAATTCGCTCATTTTTATTCGCTATTTATCTTCTCCTACTTGTCCGATATCTAAATGTGAAAGCTAATTCATGTTAACTAAATCATAACTTAAAAACATACTTAACGTAATGACGTTTTTCTAGGGATATAATAAGCATTTGTTCTCATTTGATGTTGCATGTTGAATAGGAGTCGCATTGTTGGTCTAATGAATATGCTTGGAATCAACTGCAAAATTATTTCTGCAAAAAGTGGACATCGTATCATCTATTTTGCTTATCTAGCGAGTACAAAATGTATTAAGTTAAATTATTAAGACAGTTGAAATTAATTGAATTTTTATAAGTGTTGTTTAAATAAAACCTGCTTTAAATTAAATAAATAGAAATAAAATCTGTTAAAAATTAGTAATTAAATGCTTTCGATAGTTATCTAGTTATGCATGTCATTTGCTCATAACTATTTGAATTTCCACTCCATGATTTAGCGGATTTCAGCTTCTAACGAATTTGTTGGTTAATAAATATACGATGCGTTTCGTTGTACGAATCACTACGTTATATTCGGCACAGTTAGTTTAAACCCGATATCCAATAAATAGTAATAATAATATATCAATGGGCAACCTCCGACGTGTTCCTCTATATCTCTAGAGCCACCTAAGGAATAACAAGAGAAACGATAGCTTAGTATAACTCCGGTTTTTCGGTAGTAATGATAGTACTGTACCATTGATTTCGTCGATTTGATCTGGTGTGCCATTAGACTCTCCTATATTCATTACCTAGGCGTCATATTATTGCATTAGCACCGAAAGCACCCAAAGCGGAATGAGTACGCTTTAAAGATTAGAATATGGCGATCATTATCGTTTGGCCGAGAACGTCAACGTTACGAGTTATCTTTTCGTAGCGTTCGTAATACAATGAAGCCTTTTATAGAAGAAGAATATTTTCACTTAAAATAATTCGTAGAGCCGTAGAATGGCTGCCAGATGCTCTAAATTATTTTCTTGCAAATGCTCAGTTAATAGACGCTCTACATATCCGATAGTCAGTCGAATTCAACAGACCCTTTTAGAAAAAGAATAAACCGAATCTAGACCAAAGGGCCATGCAAGGCAGTAAAGATCTTTGTAATTCCCCCAGCTGGCATACGAAATTTAATCAGCACAATATACCCGTAAAAACGCGCCTGTCAGTATCAATCAGTGCACGCATACACTTATGGAAGTAGAGTCCAACCATTGAGTCATTGCAGCCGACTGATATTTATAAGCATGGACACTCTGTTCCACTCAACTGATCGATAGAGTCAGACTAGATAGAACGCGAGAAATATTACAAAGTTCAAGTATGATAAAACATTTGTCATTCTTGCATTTTAATCAGCAATTAAAATTTTAATTAGCAGTTAAAGTAAGGAAAATATACGACAGATCAGAATACTTTTTCTACTGAAAGCTCTGCTCCTGGGTTCCTATCTAAACACGGGAGAAAATAGACATTCCATAGTAGAGAGATATAATCCTTCTCTTCATGCCTGTAGAAAACATTATGAATGAATAAGCTACTTGTCATTACTGTGTTCACTAGTCGAAGATAGGTACCGAAAAATATAGACCCCAATATGACATATGCGGTAGATTTTAGCTTGCTCACTACACCACCTGATTGAAACAATATTTGACGCTACGTAAATGTGAACAGGGACTAGGCCACGTCTTAAAGTGCAATTTAACTAATGTGAAATAATCCTAAAAAAAGTAAGTAATACTTCCATAGCATCCTGTGCCGTTCAGGGATGTACGTAGCGCGAAGCTTCAGGCTAAGTTAGGTCCGACAGACAATTATAAAAATAGCGCGCTTATGATTTATAATTATATTTACGTCGAACGTTGAGTTCAAAGATTGATAAACGTTAGTAAATCAATACCAACGTGAAAAGGTCGACGTTTTCGTTGGGTGAGCGTTAAAGTGAGCTTTCTTCCTTGACAGATGTACTACCAACTTGTTTGTCGACCTTCTTTACATAATGCTTCGAGGAAACAATTAAAGGGCACTCTTGTTCGGGATTTTGCTAAGCATAATACGTACGCTGAGAACTTGATAACTTATTTCCAAGTCCAGGTTTATATTTAGGAGAGGCTAAAAAAGAGCTAAGAAAAAAACTACATTGCTGTAAATCGCTTAAATACTTTGTTTGCCTATAAAGGAGCCCAGGATGGTGAAAAAAGAGTAGAAATGTGAGAATAATACGCATATGTAAACAGATAAGCGATCTAAAGGCAGGATACGAAGGATCTTGACGAAAAAGAACGCTTTGAGCGTACATTCAATATTAGAGATCAGCTAGAAATAACACGGCTTTTCTATAAGTCGAGTCTTATTATTTCTTTACAAACATAAATTATCATTATGCATCTGGTTTGAGGGATGTCAAGCTATAGCCAGAATTTAAAACGGTGCTATATGTAGGGAACAAAATCATATTGCAATGCTGGGGTGAGGCTTATGCAAACTATAATGTAAGATCTTCATGAACTTTCAATCAACGAGGACCTTACATACGAGGTTATTTTATAGGCCGGAGAGCAAACGTATGTCAAGGGTAATAGCTGCATTTTCGCGTGACTATTTGGTAAACAACTCTGCATTTAATAAAAATTATGTTTGTGATCTAGCACCACCTACGACTAATGAGGCAAACAACTTCGTACTTTTTCTACATTTTGCAGGCGCAGATTTCAAGCTGAACTGGCTGCAAAGAGTTTCAACTGAGTTTTAGGAGAAGGGACAATGTGTATTGTTGTCGATGTAATATAATAATGAAGAAGGTACTTTAAACGTGTGTAGCGAGTTGAGTTCCATCATCAGTCGTGTCATAAACGTTCTAGAAACTCACACTCGTTAAAAGATTTAGCGCCAAAATTCTTACACAATACTACAGACATACTATAAGCGATTAGGAGCTCCTGACTACAAGAAAATGAAAAATGGGGCAAACACATATGCGAAACTGCGCAATGCTAATAGGTCACGTTCATTAGCATGCATTTCATCTGTTATCGCTTATGATAGTTGTCTTTTTGACTATGTGACAGTAGGGTCTGTTCTTGGTTTCGATATGTTCTATACTGTCAAATCGCAAGGTCGACTTGACCCTCGTTCAACTATTAAAGTTCGATCGATGGTTCATCTTTACTACCAACGGTTCGGAAACAGAGTCAACAGCTGTTAGAATTAGTCGATTCAATCGAAAAGTGCTACGAACGTTGCTTATACGATAACCAAGGTCTGACTGAAACTCGGAAAGAGAAACGAACGTAGTTGCTATACGAAACTCCAATGTAGCTGTGTAATTCCGTGAAGGCTACAGTTCTTGTACGACTTGGTCGTAGTAAATAAAGCGGCACGTACCATATATCTAGTGCTATCATAAACGAGACCACCGGCAATCAGAGCTGGCTGTATATCTCTGATATGGCGTTTATCGTTCTGACTAGGCGCTGTTGGCTTTACTTGGAAATAAGCTCGCATTAAAAGGCTGACATTTAACACGAAACGTCATATAGTGGCCCATTGCTAGGAAAGACATTCGGAGGTATGGGCGGTATTGAAATTGTGCTTAGTCCAATTAGGTTTGAAGCTTACAGGACGATTTTGTACGTTCACTTTAGGATCAAAACAAATTTCTATATCATGCAATACAGGGCATATTGAGAACCAGAGGGTAACAAGATCTTTTTGTCAGTCAAAGTAAGGGGGCTACTTGACCTGTTGTTCAAGATAGTGACGTTAGCCCACCAAGTGACTTCGAGCGATTAAAAATTGAGACGAAACGACTGCGATAGATAATTCTGATAAAAATATCGACTGTATTTATTGTCTTGGCCAGAAAATCGAAAATGGGTTAGCATATGCCTCACTTGTGGTGCCCATCGCATTAACGCTGACGTTGGGTATGACGTCGATTTACATGTACCTCGGGGATCGTTAGACAAGTAAATATGTTTTAGGTTTTTATTACCGTGACGCACCAATACAATGTTTTTTGTTCGTTCGTTTCGTTTCGTTCGACTACCTATAATCCGTATTAACATTTACTTATTGTAACTCGATTTAATTATCATTTGATACTTGTTAATGGAAGCGTGTACTAAATCAATAGATATTAGGCAGAAGCACATATTCTTGTTAGTTTTTAGCTGTTTTCAGAAAGTAATTTACATTTGTTTACGTCTCGCGTTTGAGTGCTGAAGTAAATCCTTCATAAATTCTAGATAATGCGCGTTTTCGTAATGTTTGTTTATTCGGTTAATCAACATATGACCGTCTTCAATTGGCAATGCATTTATTCGTTATTATTTGATTCCTTCGCATCACGGACAGAACTTTTTGCACTTTAAAGGTTTCAGCTTTGTGTAAAAACATGATGGTTTGAATTTTTTCTGGCATGAACATTTTATTTTTTAGAAAATTTTAAAATTGTACAAGTGTTTCGCTTTTGCGTGATCAGACTTCTCACTTATGGCATCAAGGCCTGATGTCCGCAGCTCATTTGTAACGCCATCTAAAGCTGCGTCTAGGCCGTTGAAATGTGACGCATGTCTAGAGAAAGGTGTGGGATATAATCGATCAGATGTTGCCATCTTTGGGATAGTTATTATTCTGTCAGTCTTGTCCAGTAGGAAGCTATCATTCAAAGCTAGCTTCACTGTAAAGCGGACAACAAACTGGTCTTGACAGATATGAGCCCCTGATCGCGATGCAGACTTTCTTGTCGAATCGCGACTTATACCTCAATAGCGTGTGCCGTTTACTCGGACAAAAAAGAAGGAACTATATTCTTCACCAAATACGCAATCTGTGGGTTAGTAATGGCACGCCATATTTCGATCAGCCCGAGAAGATAAATATCTGTATACCATATCTCAGACTCCAACTACGTATGTGACAGATGTTTATGTTTCAACTTGTAGGCACTTGTACTTTTTCCGAGCACAAACATAAAAATAGTGATACGTATTCGTTAGGCAAATCTATCCAATACGAACACATGTTGTGTCAGATATATCGGTGCTGCCCAGTCAAATCTGACAGGTCTCTGCAAACTTCTGGGATACGAACTTTAGGCACAATCGCTAGTTACCTTTTATATAAAGAATTCAAATTTACAAGAAAAAATGATAGTAGAACGTCTCTACGAGAAGCAATTCATTGATTGTTTACAGACACAGAAAGATTTGAGCACAGTACTGAAACCAGACTTGAAGTAGTAAATTACTATGAAACAGCTGTTACTGATTAACTGGATGTACATAAAATCCGTATGTACGCAGTTTAGAGGAAATATTGTTATATGATGATAAATGAAAACTCAAAATAATTTGCTTTCATTCGAGGCAGCGCAACAGGTTGAGCAGTTTTTTTATGTAATAGTTGTCGCCAATGGACCGTCTCACGACGTAACACAGCCTATTGGGTGGACATCTGACGTAAAGCACGCATACCGTGAACAGGATTATAATACAATTTGTGTCTGCCGAGGATTTTTGAAAAGCGACGGCAAGCATGAATAGGATACCAGTTTTATTTACGCGCAGCAGATAATAACCAATAGACGCTTAGAATAAATCGTAAGAAATAGAATAGTAATATTTCTCGAATCTATATATATGAGTATATATATAACATCAGAAGCATATTTTCATCTTGTAATAATAATTAAATGTTCGTTGAGACCTATTTCCATTAGATTCGAGTGCACTCGAAGAATATGTTTACTGACTCAATTTCGACGGGTATATACGATGGGTTCTTACTCACACAGTACCTCACAAATCATATAGAAAATTTTATATAGCTAGACAAACCACACGTAATACGTTATAAAAATGATAATAAAATTCTTCTTCAGGAGGACAACTTCTACAAACCTTGTCATGTTTCCTAACAGCACTTTAGCCAACAAGCCTGATTCGTTTGCTCTCTCTGGGTCGATTACTAACATACGTCTTTTGGGAAGTTCTGCCTTAGTATGCGTTTAGTGTCGTTTGCCATTTAGCGTTATGCAGTAGACAAGTAATATATAGCCTTTTGTGCTCCCTTGCGACCAGTCAAGGACGTGACTGGGGTCGATGCCCCGTTCACCATTTTGACGACTGAAAGATGATTTGGGAGGCTCACGAGCTTACAGGTTCAATTAATCTAGTTGGCTTACCCTTCACAACGGTGGTTACTACTCTTTTTATAAAAAAAACACTTCCTTCCGCGATAAATGATAGATAAAGTAACTCTTTTTGTAACCAGTACATATCACTGAAATGTACACATTATACATAGCATAAACAAGAACCATGCGCACGAGTTCTACCAACTTTCCACGGTTGCCTTGGTATGTTCATCGTTGTAACTGCAGCTGCAACGCGAGCACAAAGTCATTCTCTACTTCTTGGTTGTACTTGAAGCCTCAAGCTGTCCACTTTGTTCGGTGACTTCACCCTTAAAAGCTAGGGGTCAGCGATTAACCGCACATAAGTTGGAATCGGTGCGGCTGTAGTTCAAGGTAAAACTCGACATTTTTACGGCTCAACTGCCGTATGGCAACGTCTTGCAACAACGTGAAACTTCGTATATCCAGATGTATAGTAGCACATAAATTACGGCGGTAAATTTTTTATCGTTCCTACTTTAACTATCCTTTCCGGATCGACTACATATTCAAACGAGAGAGTCAATCAATATGGTTACTCGCCGCCAGTAGTAAGTTAACAGGTTGCAAAGAATATGTAAAGCATAAGGATAACAACTTCTTTATTTCACTTGACTTGATTTCTTTCGCTCGATTACTGAAAGTATCATGCGGCAGGCAAAATTATCAGTAGCAAGAAGGACTGAAGTGCGCTTGTTGTCGTTCTCAGTATCATCAAGCAGGTGTAGAACAGATAGATTACAGATAAAGCTGTTTCTCCAACAAATGGAAGCCTAACAGTAAATAAAGGCCCTGCTATGCTGCAGAAATCTCGTCCCTTTCCTGCACTAAACTCTTTCGCGACTTGTCGATTCCGAGCAGCAGCGACGATGATCGTCAGACGGCGCCACAATCGCAAGTTTCGATCCGCCTATATCGGAGTAGATCGCGTGCACGGGTCTCCCTTATCATTATTCCAACGAGTATAATAGGCACATCTGCGCGCCTATTTTAAAACAAACGCAGCTCTCGTATATAATATACCGAAAAAAGTTTCCGTGACAGGTAGAAGTGGTATGCGTATTTAATAGGTGTACAGGATATGCATTGGACGTGTCTAACATAGTTAAATTTGTTTATTTGGATAGAATGCTATAATGGAAAAGAGGTTTGCTTATTTATAAAAAACAACGCATATAATTAAGCACACGATAATAGTTACGTAAACGAGCTGATACGGGCGAGCGGCATTTCTCTGTCCAGTATTTGGAACAATCATGCCCCAAGTACAATATAACTGATAACTCACTTATAGTATGTCGGATGATCACCATATATACAATGTTATATTAGCGGTGAAACAGAACAGTTACCAATGAAGTGCCCACAAATTGTTATTAATCCCATTAATTAAAAATAAGGTGCGAAATAAATTATCATTTTATGATTATATAATATTGTAGAAATAATGTGAGGATATTGCCCCTTGAGGATACATCGAAACAATTTTGTGGAAACAAATGTGACGATGAAACGTATTTTAAAGAAATTATATGCTTAAATGGCGCGTTTGCGAGTAAAGCCACATGAATGAACTTTGATGGCGAAACGATATCTTAGCTATACGTTTTTAAGCATTAAGAAGACCAACTTGCTGGTTTGTGTAATGATGGTCCGTAAAAAAGTGTAGCTCATTTTGCGACGAAAGCGATAAGACATATATGTGGAATATCATCAGCTCACCGCTACAAATGCCTTACAACAAAACGTTCTAAACAGTGCGACCTTGCATCTACGGTTTAGATTTGTTTATTTTGAAACCGTTACCTAGACAGGTAGGATAACACTTGACTCTAGATGAAATCAAGACTCAGTTGTGCCACTAAATGAATCACTTCGATTACCAAAAACTGCGTAAAGGGAAGAGTTTACCTGTACATCCCCACAGTGCTGGGAAAAAAATTAAATTTATTGCAAAAATAATGAGAAGCCTTACAATTCAGACGGGAAATCCCATACTTAGAGATCCCAGTGATGTAGCTATTTTCAGGGCCTTCGCATTACCGTGTATATCGCTACGTATTATAAATGCGCAGAGAAGGACACCACGAGACCAGGAATACAACGCTCATCGTCCTTGCACGAAACGGCACAATCTCTTACTTGCTGGGCGGTATATTCATTTACACTCATTGTAATTAGAAATGTAGCGCTCGAACTGAAAACATACGCACATTCATTAACTGGATATTTAGCTAGATATACAGTTTATTAGGTTGTCACGTAACTCACATTCACCACACGTACAAATAAGTCATATGCTGTCTTTACTTCAAAAAGATATCCTTGTTGAAAGAAGATAGGTAGAAGTGTACCACTAATACAATTACTGATATATTTCCATAAAAAAAAAGTTCAAATCTTTTCGTAGACGATTATAATTAACGTTTTCAATTTTCCAAGACTTCAACCGACATAGTACAGTAAAGATGTCACTATAACGTGCGCTCTTTATGCCAACCAGCAGCATGAGTAAATCTGTTTGCAGATTGACATCACAACGCTGACAAAGTCACTTCGAACTGGGCTCGATGTTCTGAAACCGCAGGTGAAACACACAATTAAAAGGATAAAGGGAGCTACAGAGCTCGTGGACAGCAGTGTTAACCATTCTAAGCATTAAAGCAGCTGCGCGGTGAGCCGTTACGTAAATTGTAATGTACTACCTACTATACGTGGAAACTCGGCGGTATATCTGGAATTCCGAACTTTTATTTATATATAAGATGGAATGGGTTCGACACCCGCTGTAGTATACCTAAATTAAGCGCCTACGATTTTTAGCTTGACACACTATTCAAAAACAATGACTTAATTTTAAAACTTATCTCACAGGCCCTACAACTAAGAAGGAATTTTACTGGGACTAAATGAGCACCATAAACATAATTTTTTGTTTTTCAAAATGAAGTATCTTGCATATTCAACATACCCATAGCAGTAAATTTAACGAAATACAGAGATTACAATAAAATAACTATTTTAGACTCTGTCCAGGTAGTTAAGAGGTACAACGCTTATATCATATCTCTGTAACAAAAAGCTATGAGTGGTATATATTTATATCAGTACTTACCGTCAAAGCAAGCTGTGTCGCTTTCGTCGGTCGGTTGGGGAATCCACGGTGGCTCTAAAGATCGTATGTTGTTCCAGTCAATACCCTGGAAAAGCGGTAAATCACGCAATGCTACGGCTGAAGGCCGAAGAGCTACTTGTGGCTCGATCAGACGTTCCACAGTCTCTATCGCTTCGGCGCTCAAAGCTCCATCGCCCTCATCAGGATATTCGATTGCTATGTCGACAAGAAACAATGACGCAATTAACATTAGTAAGAAGTTATTCGCGATATGATGAAAAAATTGCTTTGAATTCGAAGATCACGCATTTGTCTTTGCTTGCACTAGGTATAATTTAATATACGAACAAACAAAGGTGCTGTCTTGCACTAAGTAACTCCGCAGGGCTTCGCTGCTTAGATTTCCATAAATCCTCTGCGGGGAAGCAGTGCCAGTATCAAAAATTCTAGCTGTTAGCAAATATACGAATACAATTGGATATTGTTTAGATGATCATACTTAGGTACAATTTATTAAATCGTTAAAATACTTATTAAAGTTCGGCCGTTAAGCTAATCTCAATGCGTTTAGAACATTCAGTTTATTTTAAACGTGATCTAGACTAGCATCTTTAACGAATAATACAGTAATACCTCGATTAAGTATATTGTCGAAGACCTTTTCAACGGTTTCATCGATGAAAGGTGGACAACCCACGAGGAATTCATACAGACAAACTCCAAGCGCCCAGATGTCCACACTCGTAGAGTGAGGTTCTCTGCGTAGAACCTCTGGAGCCAGATAGTCAGGAGTACCTACAATGGGTCCTCCGCCGCCGAGGCACGGTCCGGGTGTACTTGGCGGTTTCATCCCAGATCCATACAATGATGCAGCTAGCACACCTACAAAAAATAAAAGATCGAGAGAAGATTGCGATAATTAGATATAGAACTGATATTTATAGTGTAGAAAGACCGTTTGTATACACCATCGTTTTATGTTATAAGAGCAAGTTACACAGTTAGACTGACGATTTCATTATGGCTACAGTACAAACAGTCTTTGCATTTTTATCTTAGTAACAATCGATGAATCAAATTAAATAAAACATCATTGACTTAACTGAAGTCCAAATATATGTACGACGATACGACAGCATTTTAGTAACGTCTAAGAAAATGACAATTGATCATCTTACCACTCTTCCGACTAAGCAGCTTGGAAGGCTTTTTTCTTTTCACATCGGTCAGTGCTTTGATAAGTAGAGGTCGGAATGCATTGTTGCGTCTGCTGTTTGCCGGAGTTTCCACTGTCGCGATGCCTGAAGACACGCCATTGTCACCAAACGATTTTGTACGAGCGCATGATAGGGCGGCCCATGGTGAGGATGAGCAAGATGCCGCGCCAAACCGCTCGGCGTCTATTTCGTCATTGCTATTGAAATCGTTATTTGACAGTTTAGGATTCTGTTCAGGCTCAAAGGGAATCACCCGCCTTGATTTCTTCCACTTTTCGAGTTGGTCCTGGCGTTCTCTCATCATCTCCACAAAGCTTTTGCCGTTCGTCGAACTTCATTGTAGTGACAATATGCATGTGTCATGTATCAACAACAAGAGAATTCCTAATTAGTCATCTTCGTAGGTGTAGCTTATGGAAATCATAGTGAGTCTGGTCTACTTTTGGATGTGTCGTGTTAAACACGCACGATAGCAGCCGAGGACCTATCTATACCTGATAACAAATTAAGACGATAACTTACTTAGTTAGTGGTGTGGATTGATGGCCCGCAGTGCAGTGGCTTCTGTATTCGAAGCTAGGCAAATACTGACGCGACTTTTCATCAAGTGCATCGTTCCCATTCGCATGTGGAGTACTAGCACGTGGAGGTGATAGGAGCAGCTTATCAGAGCAACCCCCATGTGTACTGTCATCCGCTTCCCCAAGTGATACGCTAAAAGAAGTATTTCTAGCTAATACACTTTTTCTACGGTCTATGGCTCTAGAACCTGGCGCAATGGGAGAATCGTCCGTTAATTTGAACGAGAGTCTTTTTCGTGTTCCGCGACTTTCTTCCAAACTTGTGCTCGCAGGCGTACTGAAACGTTGCCCAGGTGTCGCCGACGATAATGTACAAACGGACTGTGGTTCAGTTTGCGCATCGATCAACCTTCTTTTAATTTCTTGCTCTTCTTCGCCAGGTTGTAGTTCTTGCAGTTCATCGAGGGATTCTAGATAACTGCGGCGTTGGCCACAGAACGAGATGTGTAAACCACGCTTTCGCCGATTTAATGAGTCACCCGAGATGCACGATCTTGGAGGATCAATACTAATGTTCGAGAGTGAAATGTCAGGCGTTGCAAACTTAGAGGAGACGCTTCCAGGTGTATTCAGAACGCCTGCAATTTGACATATGATGATTAGAAGGTCCTCGTGTTTAGAAATTGCTTTTTGTGCTCACCTTACTTTTCTCTATTCATTTACCGTTTCAAAATCGTTTTTCAAACCTTATACTAAAATTTATATCTCACTTTTTAACTGAGTTTGGAAAGCATCGTTGGTACAGAAATTGGTGATGTCTGCAAGCGGAGTTTTGTGGCGAATCCCTTGCGGCGGGCTGAGCTCCTCGGAAGAATTGAGATTTTTTGAGGTAAGAATTAGGTCACGGAATTGGGTTGCGACAGATAAGGATCCCGTTGAATTTGACAGAGCCGTGTAATACATCGTTGATTCCTGACAATCGCTTATTCCTGACAGATGCTCATTCGACTGTAACACATGTAAGATATGATTTACGGGCGGCGCTACAAAATGTTCACGCGCATATATAGACAGGCCTAAATCCAACCAATACCACATCGCTATCGAAACTGTATACCTAAGAATAAAGACAAACACTTTCCAAACAAAGATCATATCAGTTTTTTTTAGCACTGTGAATGAAAAGCCTGCTTACCTTGTTTTGGGGTGACATAATCGAGTTGTTTGTTTTACTCATCTGCAAACAGTATTCAAAAATCACAATAAAAACGAACCTATATACATATATATGACTTTCGTATCTCACTATCAGCTAATCATTTAATATTAAAAGGATACGACAAAAGAGCACACATGATCATTTAACTTTTCAACTATTTTATTAAAAAAAAAATAGATAAAATTGTCCACGTTGATAAGTTACCGAATTTTGACTGGTTTAAAAAACACACAACAGAAAACAAAAAAATGTAATCGAGCAAAAATCATGCTAGTAAAATAATAATATATCATCACAGGAATGTGTTATATGTACATAACTGAAACGTAAATTTAAGTATATATATATATGATTATAGACACTTGTATATGTATATATATATATATATATATATATTACAATTCATATTTACTTTTCTTGTAAAAGTGTTCGCTACTATATTTAAATTATAATGGAAGAAAATTTGCGTTGTTTAATTTTTATAATGCTGTAACTTCGAGTGAGCACGACGTGTCTCGACAGTGTCGAGGCTCTAGGGCTAACAACCGAGCAAATGGGCTAAAAATTCGTGTAAACGCTTACCGCTAGCGCTTTCCGTGCATCGAATACTGACGGAAATGACGGATTCTGCGAGCCACTTGAATACATGGGACTCATGTGTATATTAGCAGTCAGTGACATAAGCTGTCCAGGCGTTCTGGCCTGCAGGTCGAGTAGTCTTATCCTCCTTGAGGCCTCATCTGTTCTGGAGAGCACGAACGTGTCGAATGCTTGTTCGTCCTGATGATTGTTATCATTGTTGTCAATAGCAGTTGGATTATGTCCGCTATGACTAACTTGGCGTTTGAGGGGAGTCGCAATTATGTCTCCGATTTCCACATTCTTTCGCTCCAGATTACAGAGACCAAAATCAGTCAATTTTACATGTCCATCCCTACCGACAAGTACGTTATCTGGCTTGATATCTCGATGAATTATACCATGTCTGAAAAAGTTCAATGGACAACTTTTTCTTCTATACATTTGAGGCTCAGGTATAGTGAGATACATAACTGGGTTCTAAATACAGATCAGCATCTGCGACAATAATTTCAGTTAATATGTCCTTCCTCAGTCATTAATATCAAGAGCCATGGTCTTTTGTTAAGCTATACACATTAGATTTGGCATGTCTCCTTAAAACCGTATTCGTTTCTAGTTAAAATGGTCTAAATCGTAGTATACGAAATGCTCATTTATAAGTTAAATTCCTGGTTTAGCACTTTATAACATACTTGTGAAGATACTCAAGGGCTAAAGCGCACTCAGCGATATAGAATCGAGCAGCGTACTCCGTGAAAACAGTAAATCGAGCTAGAAGCGCCTTGAGGTCTCCTCCTATCATGTATTCCATTACCTGCAAGAAAAAAGTAACGCTTGTAACAGTATATACTCGGCTTCTGGCTTTGATTTATCGATGGGGCATGTCCTAATTGACTCCTTTCGATTTCAGGAAAAAAGCATGCCCTTAAGCGATTGTTCTATTGAGTCAACAGGCAATAGGTTCTAGGTCGATAACATCGGTGTGTGACTGTATATGAGCCAAAGATATATAGAAAATTTCTAAATACAATTTGAACATTTTCAAACATGCGCTGGTCACAATATTATTTTTAATTCTCAAAAATAATTATTTCAGAAGGCGATGCCAGTAAATAAATAAATAAAAAAATTAAGATGACAGATGACATACCAGATAAATACGGCTACGACTCTGAAGCGAATAGAAAATTTTTACGACGAACTCTGAATGACTTATCGCCAACGCGTTTTTTTCGTTATTAACTGTAAAGTTAAACATGGTTAAATAGGCGTAACTGATATTACTTTACGCGCATTAACGCTATTGATTCTACACGTGACGATAACTCGTAACAATGTATATAATCGTATATAGTTTTTCTATATCAGTATTTGAGTTCCTATTTACGTAAACACGATATACGCTCAAGTTCAACATTTTTGCATCCTCCCTATTATTAGTCCACTTACCACGGTCGGCCATGTTTTTGTCGAGCATGTGTGCCTTTTCCATCACCTTAACAGCGTACAGCTGTGGAGGATTAGCAAATCATGTATCAGAGGATCTTTCTTATATCGACTATTGTAGTTCCATAGTCACAAAACTTCAGTGGTTGTGCTAGCGACTAATTTTTGTTCGTGGAACAGGTATTTAACGTACGAACTGGTTCTTTACTGTAATGGCAACTGAGAGCACGAAATTTTACGAACAATATACTCATATGATACATCAGACTAAAGTCGATTACTGAATTCGAACATTTGCCTCAAACAAATTGAATTTATCGCCTCTCGGTGCATATTAGTCTTTATTAGACTGCACTGTTATAAAGAAATAATTTTGTTAATGTCATAAACATCACCTTCAAAATCTAAAATAGGCTATAATTCATTCGTTAGTAGGCTTCGCTTACCTGCTGCTGACTTTTATGTTGATGTCTTGCTAAAACAACTTTTCCAAAAGCGCCGGAACTTATGTTTCTTACGATAACAAAGTCTTCGATTCGCGGCATCTAATGAAACAAAATGAAAAATCATGCAAAATTAACATCAACCTTCACACTTTGTATTTACTTCATAATCGCGTTATTATTCAGCTGTTGCAATAATATAGAATCGTTTTCAATATAATAATATCTTTATATAATTACCTGCAATAATTTTAAATTTCTAATTTTACATTAAAAAAATCGCCTAAATGCCTTACAGACGTTTAGGTTTGTGGGTGAAGAAACTAACCAGTTGCATTTTCGCCTTCGTCACCTGCGACTCGTTAAAGTGAACTGTTTTAAGACCACCAGCTCGGTTTCCTTTGCAGCCTGCCTCGACGGGCAGGCTTGACCTGCTCGTCTCTAACGGATTTTCATCAGCTGAAACAAACCGATAAGTGCAAATCAGTATCAATTATAATTAAGAAATAATCTTTTTTTTTGTAGCATTTTATAGATTTTAAAAAAGTGTTTGAGGACATAGATTTAGTAATATCTGAACAAAATACAACCACGTACGTTGGGCGCACATTGTATTCCAAACTTTCAGATGAGCAGACCCTTGGAGAACTTGCTTATCTCAATATAAACTCGAAATACTAAAGAAGATAAATGGCACGTCAGCATGAGTTGCTAAATGCTTTATTTGATAATGAAAGATTAACACTGTCAATAAAGCTTGAGTACCCTGAAATTTATCGATAGAAATCGTATTAAATATGGGTTCTGGTTATCTGTGTAAGTGGGCTTTGCCTGGCGACTTATACTCACATGGATTCGACCACAACACAATGCTGAAGCAGCTCAATCCAACTGTTGCTTAATCAATAGACTCAATAATTATTGATTTGAAGTTATCTCCAGAATCACCAAAACGGTACTTTCAATAAGTAAATTATCGTAGTCGAAAGTTAATAATAGCTGAGTCGAGATTTTAAGGATTATTCGAAACATTGCCACGAGGCTATGTCGAATAAATTTAGCTCAAACCACAATGCCACAGCCAGCTGATGAAATGCCTAATGGGCGTAGAACTCGATATGTTTAGTTCCCGTTACAACGGTTAGGCAATAAGCCGTACTTAAAGCGTGGTCGGTGTGCGTTTAAGTAATGATCTACACATTAATAGTCAGAAATAGTAATTGTTATGTAAATTCAAGCGCAATACTATTTGACATCCGTTAACCTGTTTTCGACTTTAACCTCCTCTTAATAGTTCTAGCTTATCCACATATGTGTAACGCAATTCAAAAGATTTCTCTGCGACTCCTGATACTGATATATACTAACAATTCCAATTAAACATTTTTTATAAGTATAGTAGAAGAAAATATGAACGACCAAATTACGTTCGACTCGATTTCCTCCATTATGTGTTTGTTTAAGGTTGGCACTGGTAGATTCGAAGATATCGTAACATCTTTCGCAATTTCCAATAGATAAATAATACCCTTTTGCAAGAAATATGTTTTTTTCTGATGGAGCGAAACGCCTGGAAATTTTCTTCAATTTTAGTGTTGAAACAAAATTCTTTTCTATATATTCTAAAAATTGTAGTCACAAAGTTACTCTTGTGAACTTACACATAACGGTTTTCATCGTCGCGAACAACGCCCAAATCACTTACTTATCACTACTGAACTATCGGCTTTGAGTTACGATGAAGTACATAGTTATTAAGGGATTTCGCCAATGTTTTTTTGTCTCTGGAACTGCCAGGCGAACGTGTACGCGCTGCTTCCTACTTCATCGTCTGCTTCAAATTGTCGATGGTGCAATGAAGCGCGCAAATTTGAATCGAAACGATGATGCCAATATATTCGTCAGGAAACTCACCTCAAAGCATCTTATACTGATCTTTAGATGTTGAGTGACTAAGTGATCCTTTCCCCAAACTCTGGTGCTAGAGCTAGAGTTACGCCAACAGTTTTACTAGCAAATTAATTACCTCAAGGTATTCAATGCATTTCTTTTGCAGTTAGTTAGAAATGTTCTTACTTATTACAGTAGTATGTAGCTGTGTAATTAATTCTGTTGTTCAAAACTGAACTAAACCAAGCACCTTATCTAAAACAGGCCGTCGAGAATAATTGTTACTACCAAATTAAGCTCACTTGTGCAGTTGTCTCGTACCAATGGTTCCAATAATCACTTCCTACATTGTTCAACCGTTTTACTACAATTCCTTTAGAACAAATTTATATAATGGTTTGTCGGGGACGAATGAAGGCACTGAATTCTCGCTACAGGCTTTGATATGAAATGGTTTAATATCTGATAGTGGTACTACTTATAATTTACATTATTCGCGAATTGATTAAAACACACTGATGTGTATGTAATAACGATAGCGCTAGCCGCTGGAGTGTAGTCGGTCACAAATATTAAATGCCGCATTCTACATTTAACTGTTAACTAAGTAACCAAATAACTAACAAGCAAGCTTATAATTAAGACCATATAATCGTATTTATTTCCTGAAAGGCTTAAAAATTAGATAAGACCGTCCGCTGAGTCTGCTTGATAAACGACTTAATTGACGACAGATAAACGGTAATCTATACATCACGATTTCGGAATTATTGGAAGTGATTTTTCATGCCACTTTAGAAATATTTCTGGGCCTTTTCGATCGAATCTCAATTATGAGTCTTCCGCCTCGTGGGAATGTTCCTCGGATTCTTCGGAAGCCGTATGGAGACTGACACAACAAAAATCTTCAATTTGATAAAAAATAGTGACCTTATTAAGGAATTTTTTCGGCGCGATGTCTTCGGACAGTGCTTGATCTTCGCTCATAGTCCTGACGCAGATCTCTTGCATTCGTTATATTTAAGCTCATTGTTTTTTGTTGAAAAAAAGTAGTATGATTTCAGTCATACTCCGTTAAAGTCTGTTCTCAGTACAATTTGACATTAATAGTGCTATGAGGTAATCAATTGCGCCAGGCGTCACAAGGTCACAAATGCAACCATCATCGATTATCATGACCATAAGATTTACATATTAAAAAAACGTTAACGTTGGAAAAGAAAGTGTCATTTGATTTTATGAAACCAATTAACCACTTTTTTTTTTTACAATAATTCCTGTTAATATATATATATATATTATAAACTTTTTAGACGAATGTCCGTGACTTCAGTGCCGGCGTAAGTCGTATTTCAATGAAACCCCATTCACAACGATTCTAAGCCTTACTTAATCTTCTAAGACTTCTAAGACTTAATCACTGGCTGGCTCAGATAGTACGAGATGCGTGGTACAGGCCCATGAGCCGTATTTGGTGACGACATCGTGGTGCCCCACCATAAAATTTTATCCGAGTTTTAGGAGCTCGATGACATTTAAATTTGAGGAGTGCGTCGCAACAAACTGTTCATACTATCCACTGACAAAATACAAGCTTTTAACCTCATGTTGTATTGCATTCTTGGTATTAATTCTAAAAATGGCATTCTATTCTATATCAGTGAACTGCGTTTCTTCCCTGAGGCAGAAGAACAGAGCGTCTATTAGTTAATTCAACGTGGCTCATTTACATTACTATTATGCAACCATGTGATAAAGTTTATCAGTTTTAGTACATGTGAAGGTATATCTGTTTATCCGTACTTAGGTCACTAGTTCTTATTCATATACAAGCACTGTATTGTCCTATACTAACGTAGCGTTTGGTCGACATCTCATAATTTAACTGCAATGCAAATATTGCATTATATAATTTCGTTGCAGACTTTTTATAAATAAAGAAAGTGATTTATATTATACAATCAATTGTTCAAAGTTTTTTCGATCTGCTCACTGTAGTCACGCTTGACTGCCCACGTTGAGATCTACAACCTTGAATGCTTAGTTTGATAATTTTCATATACTTAATTACATTGAATGACATCATGCCTCAGCACCTGACGACGACCCTATGCTCTGTGTCGCGATATATCAATATTCAAAGTATTGTGCTCGTCACGCTGGCACACGCACGTTTTCTCGTTGTGTCATATATGAGGATGAAAGCTGGTTCTCCCGAACATCTCTTGGTAGCCGGCGGCAATATTTCTGGCTAGGACTCAAGAGAGATGTAAGCAAAGTTCTTTTCGTATAAAATGTGCATCCTTCATTACAGCACTTGATTGATTCAAGGTAACGTTCGCTCTAGGGTAGAGACGGTATCACATGCAATATTATCTAGATCAGTGCTACATGGCGCTATAGGCCCCGTAGATCGTTTTGTTACTTTTTTGCGTAGTCTAATGGGCTAAATGTAACCATTTTAAGACGTGTGGCCTCTTTTCGATAAGCAGAGTTTGATCATTGTTCTCATAGGCCATTAGTGCAGTGGAACGTTATCAGTACTCGCACGATTACGTGCCTTAATTTAAAAAACGCCGCCAAATTTCTTTACCTCGATGAAAATCTTGCACAGTCTCTAGCGTCTCACTCATTTATTCATCGGGTATCAGGTGCTTTGATTGGTCGCGCGTTTGACTCTGACAATGTTGCGCACGAATTCATCATACCCTAGAAGACAGTAGCGCACTCAAAGGTTTAGCGTGGCCAATCAGTATAAGAGCCCATCGGGGTCACCGCTATGCTAGACTTATAGACGAGAATAGGAGTCCTGGCTAAAACTGAAGCTTTCTCATAATCTAGGAACGGAAAATAACAGAACAGATTATAAAATTATTAGACAGATTCCTTATAAACACAAGTACCCATAAATGTTTGAGAAGAAATCAGGTGCACATCTCCTGTTGTTGTTATGGCCTCTTTTTTTAATGGAGTTCAAGTACTACGATTTATGTAAGACCGGATGCCAGCATTTTATGCGGATCCCGTGTGGGGTTCAACTTCGACGGTTCGACTTGGTTGCGCCCAAACTGCTACTTAATAGTCCGCACCTCCTCTATTACCATTTTATTTTGAATTAACTGGGATTTTGTTCCTTTCGTTTTTTTTTTTTTATTATAATATCGTATTTATGATATATATAGACATCGCATTTAATTTGTTCTTCGTGCAGTTTTGTGATGCGGTGGTTTTACTTTAGACCATATTGGTATTATTGCATGCATCCTATCGGGAGGACGAGGACTGAATCTGCTGAGGGTTTTCTTCGATAAGTTTTTGCCGAACCAACGTTAAAGGCAATACAAGAATTGATTCAAATTCGTTCCCTATGTTTTACATAATTATTTTGAAGCTGTAGTTCATTACGACACCGCTGCCTTTTATCCTGAGGCGACAACATTTTTTATATAGCTTCTATGCAAAACAATGTTTTTCACAACATTTTGCTAATTTTCTTGTTTTTACCACAAAAGTAAGACGCTGTTGTATGGGGTTTGAACTAACTGTAGGACGGAGATGAACTAGTAAAAATGACTATCAGCTTTTTCAAAATCTTGAGCATTAGTTTTACTTAAGTATCTGATGAGAATCATATCTGGTTTCCATATAGCCGTTGTATAAAACCCAAGAAGTTGTAGGCATAATAGCAATTGGCATTAAACCTATTACTCTTTAGTAGGGTCTGACAGTCTCGAGACGTTGCGGCGTCATTAAACCTGCAGATAAGCTATATCGTAAAACAACTTAGTATGGAGCTATGGGTTCTACTATAGAGACGCTAAAGATAATTGCTAGTGAGTTGCGTTTACTTTTTCATGATGCACCATGGGTCACTGCCCTTTAACAGCTTCCTTTTTGTATACTTCTGATTTATGTTTGCAACAGAGATAGAGCCTTTGTAAACACGATTTCCTTTTGCAGAGATTTTTTCTCTTGTGGAATACGATCGAACCGAGGTCAATAACAGCATGGATCTGTCAATGCAGAATTTTGATTGGTAGTGCTCAGGTGTATATTTACATAACTCAACTTGAAGAACAAACACGCTATCGAGTGGAAAGCTGCTGGGTTTCAGTGTTGAAGGGATATTGAATAGCAAACTGACGCTTGCTATACCCTTAGCTGTTGATCGATTGTATCAACTATTAACTAATTCCGTACGAATTATCGGACTCCAATATATTATACTTTGCAGCAGTAGACAGAGAACTGTCTTGCTATAAGGTTAGTTTTTGGGTCGAGCCTATTTGCGAGCCTCTAGTACGTACTAGCCAAAGATTTTTCATACACTACTGTATTTCGGATCGTGTCCTAGATTTATATAACGTTATAGTAATTATATGTCATTCTAAATTGGTTGTTCTAATAGAAAAAACGAGCTAAGCCGGGCAAAAAAGATCATCTCATCAAGTTTAAATCATCAGCTTTTGAATTCTTTCTGCCGCGTTAGCATTATTGCTTTAAGTATTATTTAGAATGGTTGGCTATAATAAAAAATACAACGAATGTTCTAAACGTAACACTCTAGCTGCCACTATCCGAATTGATTAAGCCTAAAGGGTAGAAAATCTCTAAAAGGTTTGATCCTATAACAACCTGCTATTTATTTACATAGCGAAATTTGCATTTTCATCACTTAGCGTATCGCGACCTGTTTAGTTCCTTCGTAACTTAGTCTAGTTCCTTAGTAGACGTCACACTTAAAACAGATCGGCCCAACCACTTAAGTACACCGGAATTATAACAATAAAGGTGGTCAGGTATGACCCAGGGACTTTATTATGGCAATTTAGGGTTAGGGTAATATGGAGATTAAACTGTTACGTTATTACGTATTATGAAACATTGGCAGGAAAAGTGCAAGCATTTTAAAAATGTTTCCTTCTTTTATTAGATTGGCCTCAAAGTTGGCTAATTAACCAACGACGGGTGTGTTATGGTTCCATGCACATGTGACTCTGAGTAGCGGCATTTGCGACTTCAGAGCGACGGTCAGCATCAAACAATAAATTTTATTTAATAGATCTGCGACCCACGAGCGTGTGGATAGAAGAGAACATTTATGAGTCAATAAATTGGGAGAATCTGCTGTTCAATCACAGTACTCCACCTGCCAGTGTAATCCTAGTGAATTTCTTAAATAAGAGATGATAACTGTAACATACTCTATGTGATAAAATATCAGTCCGTTTCGCTTAGGCGATTTCCGAACGTTTTATTTCTTCTGACTAGATATTGAGCGTCATTAAATTTGGTTTGGCCCCACGGGAATGTTTAATTATAGCGTAGCGGCGTATCTAGCCTAGCGGGTATATAATTAACGTTTTAACAATAATTCTAAGAACATACATTTTGAGGCTAATAAAATATATAGTTTAAAGCCATTTTTAGCTTAAAACTACTATCAAAATTAAAATTAAGTGTGCCCAGTTTTGTTGTTGGAAAATTTAGGCTATCGGTTCTTACTGTGTTGGTCAACATAACAAATATTTGGTATAAAGCAAATTATTTTCCATCTATTTTTTTTTAAATTATATTTAGAAAACGGAATATTTTTGCAAATCACTGTGCAGTTGTTTATGGTGGCTTATGTTCGACGTAAATTTGTAAAATTATTTGCTGTTTTTGTACGTATTAGAAAAAATACGTCGAAATTGGAAAAATATCTCTAAAAAATCCCTCTGCATTTTCTCGTCCAGCTTAAATGTTTTTTAATTATTTGCTTGGCCTGCCAAAATTAACTGCTGAAGTATTAAAATAAAAGATTCAGAAATTTAGAAAGAATATTCACGATTTATAGATCACTATCAGTATTTTTCAGTTATCATTTATTAAATATGTCAGCTGTACGAAAAATCATCACATAATCGATAGAAAAAAGATCATTATTGTAGGCGTCTCTAATTGTATAGAGAGTAAATATCATGAACGTAACATAATCTACGCTTTATGTACATCACAATTTTAAAACTGGTACACGATCACCAGTGAACGTGTGCAATATACAAAAGGACTAAAGAATTCATATCGCTACTATGAAAAAGAAAAATTGAAAGAATTGAAAAGGCTAAGTCGTGTTGAGATTTTAGCGTAGGAAAGACAAAGTAACTGATATAATCCCAAAGGATCAACAGTATTTGAAGTTGATAGAAGTGATTAAAAATAAATAGATGAAACACGATCGGAACAACTCATCTGTTTTGTTCAAAGAGTTTTCTAGTTACAACCCGTCTGTCCAGGGGATGCCCAACGGGGCAAAAACGTTGGCTGCGCACACGAGAGCTTTCATGTTTGGGACGACCAGAGGAACAGCATAGTAAGCAGCAATAACGTAGACTGAAGCGGCAAGCTGGTGGCCATAAATGGTCACTGCTATAGCAGCTACACCAACAGAGTTCGTCATTTACCAGGGAGTGCCGGAGAAGGTGAACACGTTGGGGACGTAGTTAGCAGGGATACCGACGGAGGCAGCCACAGAGGCGGTGTAAACCGGAGCGGTCAGACCTGTAGCGTAAGCCGGAACAGCAATAGCCGGGGATGCTATAGCGACAGGGGCAGCATGCGAGGCAGAGGCAACAACAGGAGCGGCAGCAATAGCAACTTTAGCAACGGGGGCGCCGTTGTAGGCGGCAGCAGCAGGAAGGGAAGGAGCGGTTCCGGGTTCATTAGTCGACACCGAGGCGCGGAATCCAGCCGCATCAGCAACATAGTTCACGGTACGGATACGACCATCAGCATCACGAAGTCCGTACGATCCGATTTTCACTCCGAGTGCATTGCCAGATTCTTTGCGGAAGGTCCCGCCAGTGGCGTGACCCTCATCGTAAGCAAAAGCATAGTTGCCGAGTCCATCCTCGGAGCGGTGCTGAGACGAGGCTCCGGTCGAGGCGATACCTGCAATTCCAGCATGGGCTGTAGCCACAAAGGCAGCGATACAAATGAAGGTCTTCATTGTTACTGTTCAGTGCAGTCTAACTGAATACAATACAAAAAGAAATGCGTGTATTTATAGTAACGTGTAACAGAATGCGCCATAAGACGATATTCAAAAACTCCTGTAGTCGACCGCAGGCTAGGGCCATGCCCCTCCTCTCAATGAATCAACGATACCCTTCCAGCTAAAATAGATAGTGTATGGGCATCTTTGCTGCCCTCTCCTGGCGATCCGTTAGCCCCATTTTTCCTTTCTTTGTATCTCATCGATGCAGTCATGTGTGCTGTTGTTCCACTGCGCGATATTCTGGGTCCAGGAGAACGTCCTTGTTTAGGAGCAAGAACCCTGTAAACGTAATTTTGTCTGGACAATTTTTAAGGGGGCAAAGGTTCATATTAGATATTGTCGCAGATTTTTTACTGGACAGATATTTATAATAGCAGTGTATAATGAACTGAGATGATGAAATATAAATGTAAACTGGGGGTTGTCCGCATTGAAGAATTTAGTATTCCAAATCTATATAATTTTCAGTTGTGACTTAATATCACTTATATAATGATTAATTAATGTAATTTATAATGACAGGTGAGTATAAACTGAGATTCGACTGTTTTGTGAACCAGTCATTAGAATAAATTGTTACAGCGAGAAAAAGTCATTGTGAAAATTACTTATGCTTGAATTACCTATGCTTGCTTATGAACTGCATCTCTCTACACTCGTTGCTTATATCACCTAAAATTACGGACTTTTAGCTTTTTAAAATGTGCATGTAGATATAGAGAGTCAGTGGACATTTTTCGTGAACTTTATACATTTACATACACTGCACGGGGCGTTTCCTCCGTTGACATTTACCATAATAGTTGCACTTGTACCACTCGAGTTTTTAGCTTGTGACCGGCCTATCTTAAAATTTCTGCGTGGATTTGGACGCGACTAACCAAGCTTGAAGATGACAATGTTACTTTTACGCCATCTCCAAAGTAAATAAGTAAAATCTCGATACGTGACGAACGCTTTTAATCTTATCAAACACAACAGAATATAAAAAATGATCTAGTTTTTACAAACAAAGGTAACCAGGAGGAGAGAATTATAAAGCAGTATCTGCAAGATAACTTTGTCGTGTCGATCAATCAAAAATTATTTTATGAACCTTGAAGCAGCCTCTGATCATGAGTGGTAGAGATGAACACATAAAAAAAATTAAACAACACTCTCATAGGTTGTGAGAATAGGTTAGGTTGCTGAATACAAAGGAGTATAATATGCAGTTTTAGAGACATAAGCTGCAGTCTTTGACACTATATAAGTGAAATTAGCTGATTATATAATTCTCAAATCACCTGATTGGTTGAAGTCAGTCATTGATGTTTAATAGGTAAGAATTTAATTGGCAAGAACGGTAACTCATTTTGAATATATGAACTCGGCCATTTTACCTGTTGTTTTCCCTTCGAATTACCGTAAAATAACCGTTACATCGATAATGTAACGGTAATGTATTTACTTACTAGCCAGAAAAACACAGAGGTGGCTGATCATGACATGAGGATCTGATCATAGACATAGTTTCAACTTCCAGCAAACATCCGAGCAGTAAATAGGATAGTAAATATAGTAGAAGCCCTTTCTCGAGCCCGGTTCATGACAAGTTTTTCAAGCAGTACTATGCAGCGGTAAGGCGATTTGTCGTAAATCGGATACTTGATAATTAGTTAGGAAACATGTATTTAGCAACTAAAAATTAATTCATTATTTTTTTCAACGAAAATCATGATTTTGAATCTTTAATTCGATCCTGTTGGTATTGCGTAGAAATTTTTCTTATCCTTTATTCTCTAAAGTTGGAACCTTTTGAGTAACTTTAGTCTTTCAATCATCTTTATCTGATTTAATGATTTCGAAGCGTGTATATCATTGCGTATTGGTTGCGTCTTCATTTGGTAACTCTTTATAGCTTGATAGAGAGAGCGGTAGTTATGGAGAAATACCGGGGCAGCCTAATTCGGTCTAACGTACTGGGTTTCTAGTTCCAATATCGCAGTTCAGCGACGAATCGGCGTCGATGTCTTGCTATCAACAGATCAACAGCTTCTCGTTCTTGATTCAGACCAATCTCTCTATGTTTCAAGTTTTACATTCTGTAACGCTGTAAACGTTCCATCAGATGGCCGGCTCTTAGCACGAAACGAAATATGTCTATGCCCGGGCTTGAACCTGGACCACATTTTATGTAATTTCCATCGTGTTTTGAGTACCTCTTCTTCGCGAAAAATATCTGCTTTGTTTGTTACCGTAAAATATTAAAAAAAAAAAAAAGTTGTCGTAGAAAATAATTAGATGAGCTCTATGAGAGGGCAGTGGTACAATTTAGTTTCCTTAGAAGAGATCCAGGCACTTCTGCACTGTATATAAAGACGACAGAGTACTGTTTTTCGAATATTTGAGTGGAAGATTACACTCATTTGATGTGAGAACGATCTGGTATTTACTGGTTTATGTATCTTCGTATTCTGAATTATATTTAGCTTAAGCCAATAAGTCAGACGGGAATATAACTAAAATGATAGAATATGTTTTTTTATCTCTGCTTTCTTGCATATCCCTACGCAAAAAAGATATTGTGTACGGATCTTGATTACCGTTAACTTATTTATTTAATTTAATATAATTACCATCAACTTATTCAATTATCAGCAACCCTATAAAAACATATCTGTCCAAAACTGCAGTTCCATAAGCAAACCAATAATTTGTATTGTATTGCATTTATAATAACGTTAGCTGGTTCATAAGATATAGAAAGCATTGCGTTTAATTAAAAAAAAATCAATAATTTATTATACACACAGCAATTGCAGATTGCATCAGCTTCTCGTCGGTGGCTCATACAGAAATAACAGGGGTAGAACAAAAAGATGTCTACAGTTGAAAAGCAATTGTCATGGAAAAAATAATCAAGACGCTGGCGAAAAAAACAAGTACAAATATTTTAAAGATAGAGTAGTATCACAGACATTATAAATGGTTGAGATTGAGACCACATCGAAGAATGAAGTGCAAAAAGGAAGCAGACGAAGTGAAGAACAGGCCACAACTGGTCAAGAAAAAAACGTGACTTCGTAAGAGGTCGATCGTCTTTGGAGGGATCACAGGAAATAAATAGATACCACCACTTCGTAGAATGGTTTCATTACAGACGCAATTTCTATTTTTTTTTAACTTCTTTTACAGACTCTTCATTATTTACCAGGGAGCACCAGAGGGAGCAAATACGTTGGCGGCATATTGGGCGGGAGCGCCAGCGGAGACAGCCAAAGGGGCAGCGAAAGCCGGAGCGGCCAGAGGGGCAGCGTAGGCCGGAGCGACCAAAGGGGCAGCGTAGGCCGGAGCGGCCAGAGGGGCAGCATAGGCCGGAGCAGTAACAGCCGGAGCGGCCACAGCAACAGGGGCAGCGTACGAGGCAGCAGCCACAACAGGGGCGGTGGCAACGGCGACTTTAGCAACGGGGGCGCCATTGTAGGCGGCAGCAGCAGGAAGGGAAGGAGCGGTTCCAGGCTCGTTGGTCGACACCGAGGCGCGGAATCCAGCCGCATCAGCAACATAGTTCACGGTACGGACACGACCATCAGCATCACGAAGTCCGTACGATCCGATTTTCACTCCGAGAGCGTTGCCAGACTCTTTGCGGAAAGTCCCGCCAGTGGCATGGCCCTCATCGTAGGCAAAAGCATAGTTGCCGAGTCCATCCTCGGAGCGATGCTGAGATGAGGCTCCGGTCGAGGCGATACCTACAATTCCAGCATGGGCGGTAGCCACAAGGACAGCGATGCAGACGAAAGTCTTCATTATTATTATTGTCCTTTGCTGCTGCTAGTGTTGCTGTTAGAACCAGTTCTGCTCCCAAAAAGACAACACGCGAGGCATTTATAGCGCTGGCGTCTTTCCCTCAATCCCACTTCCCTGAAATCCGCTGAGAAATGCTACAACAGCGACAACCGCCCTCAAAAGTGCTCCAAAATGTTTGGGCGATGACGGCTGTAGCGGCTGCGGCAAGCAGACCAGCGCTGACTGTCGTGGGGAGAGCGACTGGTGGCTCTGTTACATAGTTGTACTCTTGACTTTTCTCCGTAAAGCCCTATTTTTCTTTCTGATGTGCTGCTATAATTGCTACTGGTTGCAGGGACCTAACTGGTAGTAATCTGTTTAACCCTCCTACGTGTGAAGAGCGCCGTAAAGAGCAAGGTCATCGTCTCTTTTTTCTTTCTCAGAACGGCAACTTCGACGCTACTAGCAGCAGTAACAGGAGCCAGTACCCAAAACGAAATCCGTTCGTATTGAAACGTCAGATTTTAGGGCGGGGCCGACGTCTGTGTGTTGATGATGGAGCTGATCCCCGGTGATTCTGGAACCGCCCGGATCGCCGGATGCCGTCGTTAGCAGATTCTGGCTCATTGCGACCCGCCCCCCCTCCCTTCCTTCGCTGCTGTCGTTGGACCGTTATGTAAGATCTCATATGGTCTTCGAATGATCCGATTCAGCAACGCTGCAGTAACAGGGCTTCTGGTAATGGCCATTGTCGATCGAAACCGCGCTCGCTTTTAGATGGCATTAATCTAGTTCATCTAATGCGCGCAGTCGAAGAAAGGATAGAGAATTGGCTGATGAAACAGACTTGTTGCCACCGTTGTTGTCTATGCTTTCAATAGACACAGATGCCGATTCTGGTATAGTAGACAGAAAGCAATATGCTTATTCATTATGGAAGGGGCTTGCACGCGTGCGTATTCTGTGTAGATCATGTGCGTTGTATTGGGGGTAAGATTTTAGCTTTTTGTTTTTAGATCATATGGATTAAGCACTTGCATTGACCAGACCTTCTGTATCGTTAAATAGTATGAAGCGAGTTTGAAGGTGGACCTTGGCCGCGTCCTCCGGCACCATAAATAACCAGTTCATTGCTCCCATATTCCGAATTGCTGTTAGAGCTAATTTAAAAACAAAATGCAAAATTGAACCCAGCAAATATACGTTTGTATATTATTATATTTGTTTCCAAAATAGATTCGTACTTCGTGGTACTGTTATTGATACCACAGTAAAATTTGTGAAATATAGGGCACCTAAGGATGAATGCATGCATGCCTATAGATTTAGCTAGATAACTGATGGTACACAGATGACAGATCGCAAGGTTTTGACTTCGGCCGATGATTTTTCCTCAAAATTTTGTACAATCAGCCGGTTCGACCCACAATACTTTGAATGGGGATGGCTCCGTAGAATGTATTGGTGTATTCGATGAATATTTTTAACATTTAGCTGTGTATGTTGAGTTATAGCGAGTATATAAAAAAAACGACATTATTTGTCGTCCAATGAAGGCAATGAATGGCACAGTAATAGAATAGTTCAGGCTTCACAAACACACCTATCCTGTCTAACCTAAAAAAAGTAAAGAAATCTGTTTTCCAATGTAACATTCAAAGCACGAAAGGAAATATCAACTAGTGGAGCTAAGTTACGTAATTTTTTTGCTGCTGGATTGACAAAGACCTCATATATCCTCATGTCTGAGTGCACGGTGTTTTTTATTTATTGCAGTTGCTTTAATTAATTAACTGCCTCCTAGTTGGTGCTGTAAGCCTATACAATTTTTTGCAGGTGCATTAGAAAGATGTAGGATACCTTATGTCCATTAACTTTTCCTCAATGCACCAAAACTAACTAACCATAGAGGAGTGACACCATAAGTGATTAGCTGAAGGCGTGTCTGTCCTCTATATGACATCACTAGTTAGATAATACTTCTGCTCGGGGGCTGATTGTGCTCAACCAAGTTTGTTACTAAGGCCTGCTCATTCGCGAATCTGTAAATAAATACCCGCTTATCAAAATATAGTGCTTCTGTTTAGCCGACTGAAATACCGACAACATATCTACTCCAGTCTGACTATGGCAAAAAACGATTTCGAAGACTCACTTCGTACATACACGCTGGAAGTTAAGTTCAAACATAAATAGAACTTAAAATAGTTACACAACGATCTTTGCTTCGCTGGTTCGAGCGCTTGGATTTTTTTCTGTGTTTTATAGAGATACTACTGGAGCAGCAGAAGCGGCTTTTTGTTTCGCATTGTTTTTCCACATCTGACGCTGCCGGACCAAGCGACGTCGCCGGTCCGAGACGATGATTCGCTGTCATGGGCATATCGTCGGTGGTGGATGATGATGCCCTTGGTTTTTCCGATGTTGTAATGCAAACATTAAGGAGCGGTCTGCCCCTGTGAGTGCTGTACCATTTATTTTCGTGTAATTGATATATCCCATATGTACAAAATGTATATATTTACAATTTAACCGATAAAACGACTGCCTGCGTTATGTGTATCGGAAATTCCAACGGAAAACTCTAAAGCACCGGGTCACGTGTTAACTATAGACTTATGCTGCAGTGGTTTTCGAATGGAGGTGTAGTTACAGTAGGTGTATGGTCTATTTATACAGAATAGCGTATATGTAAAGGTAGGAAAAGAAACAAAACAGATGTATACAATTTAGTATTATTCCTCTATTGTAGCTCTAATGTACAGCATAAAATATCTGCTGGTCAGAAGCTACAATCGATATAAAATTTCGACGTCTTTTCCGGTAGAACGTAGGATTCTTCCGGGTGAATTTCACGTGAGGATTAAACATATGCCATTTAGTGTCAACGATTAAATGTTGTATTAGTTTTTTGCTTGATAGAGTCGGTTCCAGGTCGTCACAATGACGACCCACGTCCGCATTGCAACACATTCACTTGCTTCATAGGAGCTCTATGAATCAGCAGTTACCAAACACATTATAGTGGTACGTGTCGAGATTTGACCGGCCTCGCTTTGCTCGTAACGCATAAAATACCACCATCATAGAGATGGTCAAAATGTTCAATTTTTAAACAGACAAAAAAGAAACTAAGTGTAGCCTATAATTATAAGAATAGGCTAAAACATTTGCATTGATATTACAAAAGCTGTGCGAGGGATCAGTTTCCGTCAAAACGTTTTCCGGTCCATTATTATGTGCATTATTCATTTCTTAGTATCGTTCAGTGCTATCGACGCTAACTCAGTCGAATCTAACCTTCGGAGCCACTTCGGAGGAATATGATAAGGCCATGGTAGATTTGAAGGCCTAATTTTAGGCCCTCGTTTTCTATGGGTTTCAACGATGCATACAGTCAACTTAACTACGGAAATTAGCATGTTTGTGAATTGAAGCAGTCTAGTCTATTCTTTTGTTATGTATTCATCTACCCAGTGTAGCTCAATGCCGAAATCCGAAACTGTCCTTGTATAATCAAAATGTTTTTATGATCCGAGGTTTCCGGTTTTGCTATTCTGGTTTGACCATTCTAAGTTGTTTTTAGTTCTTCGGATCTCGCAGGTTTTGGAGAGCCAATTCAGACCGTTTGAACTACAGAAACCGGAAGCAGCACATCGAACATAACAAGCATATTTACCATTTATTCGGCTAAAATTCTAATTTTTAGGCTACAGAGCCGGCTTATTGCGTTAAATCACCGATCGTCTCTCAATCGTAGATAACTTTTGTCTGCTTGAAGGAAAATGACCGTTATCTACTAAAGCAATACGGCCTAGCTTATACGTTTGTACGGCACTTGCAAGAAAACAATATAAATTAATGAAAGTTGAACATAGTTCAGAAACGTTTTTTTGTTCCATTTAAAAAAACACGGCACTTTTGTCTATTGGTACGCAAACGCCAAAAAAACTAATGAATACCAACACCCAGTATCGTAAAAAGTGCACAAAATAACGTTAATCGTTACTGATATTGATATACGTATATACGTTTATAAATCTATAGATGTTTTTCATTCTTATGTAAGTAAAAGACTTGCATAAGTAAAGCTTATCAAACGGCTTTTCTCGAGACCTTCCTGCTATCTAGAAATGTTCCGTTATGTTAAAAACATACACAAAGTAGGCAGGCGTTTTTCGTCACAAACATGAAAACATATGGCGCAAAAACCCAATCGAAAACTGATTCTATACTCGAAATTCGAAATATCTTGCTAATGCCTAAATTGGTTCAATCGAATTTGCACAAGACGAGATCTTTGGAAGGTTTCTTGAGGCGCAAAGGAGAAACTTAATGTTGCGATAGTGAGTTTCGCTAAAAAAATAAGTTAGGAACATAAACGGTCATCCTTATGAACTTTCAGACGTTAACAAAAATGGTCTAGGCAGATGTTAGCATCAAATGCGTCACCGTTCCCAATAGTGGTCGCAGAATCAAGCAAACATTTTGGACTTATTTACTCCCCTATACGTGGTGCAAACGGTGCAATTCTATGGAAGCGAAGTCTAACGGTAACGACAGGAACTTCCCTTAATCTAATTTTTGTGCTTTTTCCTGCAGTTATTTCGATTGAAGTGTGCGTTTCCAAATAAGGAAGGAGGGTAAGGAATTTTGCTTTGGAATTATCAGTATTTTTTCAAAATTAAAAACAAAAAAATATTATATTTTGCTCGAATTTGTTTTCATTTAAATCGTTCGTTTACTTGAGTATGAGCTTACGGAAAATAATATTCTATCAAAGGTTACAGCCAAAGCCTGCGTAGCTTTTTGAACATCCTGTAGTTAAATAAAGAATTTCTAGCGTATTAGCTTCGGGGAATTGCGGTTGATCTATTACTTATTGGAATGTTCTGGCAGTATTGCTTCGCAACTTAATTTTTGTAGAAAACGCTATTTTCCTATACATAGGCGTTGTCTTCAGGCCGTTTTTTCCCACTCGTCCGACACGTATTGTCGAGTCCAGCGTCAGTGGCCATCGTTGCCGTATCAGCGATTAGTATTTGTGATCGATAACAAATGCAC